GGTCAATGATACATTTACTTGAGAAACCGTAGTAAATATTGTCCTAAAATTTGGAGTATTACAAGTATAATTTCATAACATTTGTAATAATTGATTTCTTCTGTTTTAATATGTTAAGCCCATCCATTACTACCCTACAAGATGCACTATATATTGTGCAAAAAGAATGACGATACATAAATATGTTCCTTTAATTATTTATTTATTTTAAAAATCACCTACTGTTTAATATATGCATGAAAGTTCAATCAATTTGAATTCGCGCCTATTAAGACCTCACTCGGACTGTAGCGTTTAATCTGTACATTTTCCAACAATTTTTCATTATATCAACTCCATTGGATATGCTTTGAACGGAAATAACTCAAAATTATTAAAAATAATTAAATGTAAATATTTCTTTTTGAGATATCAAATACATCTTTCAACCATTTGTATGAATATTTTTTTCCAAATTTAATATAAATAGCTTTAATTTCTTTTCAACATAAGTTATAAATTTATAAATCAATAAAAACCGAATAACAATTCTATAAAAAGGAACAACAGAAGATAGAATTAAATAAAATAGGATATAGCTAACAAGACAGTTCTAATTCAATTTTTTTTTTTTTAAAAGACAGAAATTAAAAATAACACTAGTGTTATAAAATCATTCAGAAGCCCAAGCATTGTCTTTACAGATCTCTTCTTCTTCCTCTGGAGTAAAATCCTTTAATCCTACCGGCAACTTCTTGACATATCATATCCAATATCTCCTTATCGTTAAGAAAATTAGCAGCTAAGATAAGATCGTACAAAATCGAGTGGTGCACCTTCACAAAAGCCTTGTCAAAATCCATCAACATGTCTTTGGAGACGCCTTCCTCCGAATGTTTCTTCCAGTATTCGACCGCTTTGGTCATTGTTTTGCTATGGACATTAGGCAGGGGATTGACGTTTGAAACACAATCATCTTCAACCATATTATTGATAGCTTGTGACCTTACTAATATCACCTCGTCCAGTACAAATACCTTACCATCACAAGTTGTCACGCCTCGAGCCTACACCCTGGGGGGGACTAGCACTCGAAGACCATTGCTAGCCCCAAGCGAACCCTTGGCCTGACTTACTTAACTCAGCGGAAGACAATATGCATATTAATAAAGATCAATAGCACTTAACTGAACTGAATACTAAAATAAGTGAGAATGCTTAAAGGTGAAACATTCAACTTGGCCAAAAGTGGCAACCCAAGTCTTAACAATAAAAATGATAATGAAAAGACTCAAAGGACTAACATTTGACTGTCTATGAAGCCTCTAAAACAATTGAGATGGATGTTGGGACAAACCCCACAACATCCTAATGAACTAACTAGAAAACAATGAAAATAGATCCTCCGGAATGCAAGAAAGCCCACCGACTGACTCTGAATTGCTCACTAGATCAACAGTGCGCTGGAATGCCGATCCTAGTTACCTGTGTCTACATCATAAGACGATGCAGGCCAACTGGTATCGTACATTGAATGTACGAGTATGCGAGTTGGAATGCTAAAACAACATAGACTTGAAAGCGATTCTAAAAGAAACACTTACCTTGGCTCTTCTTAACTCATGAATACTTAATTGAACTCATTTCAATATAAAGTAGTTTAAAACAAGTGCAATATAAAGAAAAGTTGTTTAAAGACATGATGTCAACTCTGTATATATACAAGGATACAACATAACTTTGAAATATATGTAAAAATATAATAGACTGATGTATATAAAAATACAATAACTTATGTGGGTGTTTCTCTAACCGACAACCATCACATAAGAGCTATAGTGATGATACAACGATCTACCTCACGCTGCTAGCGCATCCTGTACCCGGCCAAAAGTATAGGACCTGAACTACTAAGTGGATCCACTAGTCTATTGTGAAAAGGGTTCATCTAAAAAGTATGACCCTTTTCTACCCATGGTGGCTACATGGTTTATGGGGGTTGTGAGTCGTCTGAACTCTCCCCCATATCGGTGCTCAATACTACTCCCAAAATATACTAGCTCTTTATGTTTTAAAAACATACTTCTTTTTGTGATTTGAGATAATTGCTCAAAAACTTAGCTCAAAGGCTATCTTGGAAATCTCAATTTCCCTTCTTGCTTCATTTAGAAAGCTATTACTATTTTCTGAAAACTAGCCCGAAGGCTCTTTGGAAATCTCAGTTTCTGTTCTTATTTAAATGTAAAAAAAAACATTTACAAATCTCTTTGGGAATACATAGTCCCCATATACTTCTTTAAAGAAAAGAACTTCAACTTTACTTTTTACTGATCTCAAAACTTAGGTCTTAAAACAAAGTTAAAACATTTGTGAAAGACTTTTGAAAACTTTAAGAACTTATCTTAACTTAACTTTGACTTCTCTTGACTTTGACCTTAACTGCTCTTGACTTGACTCTTATCTGATCCTTGAATTGAATTATGGATTCAAGGATTAAGATTTGTGACTGGAAAGATCTCATGATGTTTAGGAATGATTCTAGATAGTTAAACATGAGAAAAGACGGAAAATCAATATTTGAAGGTGGGTCCACGACGCGGAGGCATAATTTAATTTTGGTTCCAAAAAGGTCTTTTGAGGCAGAACACCTTATGTCAGCTCTGCGACGCGAAGCTGAAATACTCAAATCTGGGCATTAGGCGCGCGACGCGCGGCGATCCTCTTATTTCGTCCGACGAAATTTCTTCTTCGTTTTCCAACCCCAATTAACCCAAACTCGTTTCTTTTTCTCAAATTACTTTTAGATACATATACCCAGCAAATGTACCTAAGAACCTAACTCGAACCGGCCCTATAATGTGACGTAACGAACTCAAAAACTTCCCAACTCAGTCAAATTCAAGAACAAATATATGAATTCAAGAATAGGTATCAAGATCATTAATATTCAAATGCTTTTAGGACAAATCCAAACTTAAATAAATATGCTTGGCACGAGGGAGAACGATCCCAATGTTATGAGAGCCTCACATACCTGATAGAAGTAAATCCTTGGCGAAACACCAACTTTCTTGATCGATCTTGATGAATTTGCCCTTTTCTCCTTCTTCTTTTCTCTTCTCCTTTCTCCTTAGTCCTAGCGTGAAATGCCAAAATCTAAAACTGACTAAAATTTGATTTGACCCATATTAAACTTCTAAAAATTGATTAAAATAATAGGGCAATGAAAAGACTAAAATACCCCTTAAAATTCCGGATTGGACATTTCCTTAATCCAACATCCCAACTTCCAAAGGGCATAACTCACTCATACGAACTCGGAATCGCGCAAACTTGGCGGCGTTGGAAAGATCATTCCAAGAGTTTTCCAAGAATATCCGGAACTACACCTATATCATCCTAAGCTAATAATTATGGTCATTTGAAGTTGACCAAAAACTCACTTTAACTTACTTAAACATTCCCAAATTTCCTTCTTCTTTCCAAAAGTAACTATTTCCAGATTTTAAACTTCTTTCTAGTTGCGAGATGTTACACAAGTCTTTAGAGTTAAGAACTTTGGTAAAGAAGACATGATGATAAAAATATATTTGAATAAGAGATGTTAATTTATTTTTGTTGAGAATATTATCGAAAGGAGATTTAAATGATTATAATGTCTGAGAGGTTTGAAGGGGTTAATTTATAGAGCATTAGGTTTTCACTGTTCTAGTTGAAGTAGGAAGTCAAAACGAGGGAAAAAATAGTTCATGGAAATATTTATGGACACTATTGCTTAAAAACAGAAAATTTCTTGTAATTGGAGTTAATGGGTGTTTGAAAAATCCCATCTTTATCACTCAGAACATATGTAACAGAAAGGAAGATGGTGATAGATACAAGAAAGCTTTTGTTGTGTATCTTCTTGTAAAACCTGAAGTTATTATTACTTTGGAGAATGGTGTTTGAATAGTTGTAGACACATCTTTAAGCTATCACCGAGTTTCCTTTTTTATACCCTAAACAAGAGGGAAATTAAAACTCTACCTAATTTTCTCAAATAATATAACTAGGTGTAATTTCTTTCCAACTAACCTTCTTATTCATGATTTTTTTAAAAGACATGTAAAGAGAAAAGTCTAATATTTAATATGAGCCGGAGGAAGTAACGTTCATCGTATTATTTTGTTTGTATGTTAATTGTCCTCCCAACATGAACGATATAAGTGGAGAGACTATTCTAGGTCTTATGATTTAGAGAGAAAATGCATCATTATCCCCATTCAACTATAACACATTTTTTAAATGACACTGGAACTTTGCAAAGGTCCTAGCACTCCCTTAAATAATTTAAACGTGATAAAAATATCCCAGATTTCAATCAATCTCACGTATAAGAAAGAAAGTGCATACACACGCCAACTATTACCTACCACATGCCAATTATTTTTTAATTTTATTTTCATTTATTTCTCATTCTATTTTTTTAACAAAAAATTCTCTTTACTTCTTCAATTGTTAATGTACGTTGAACTGCTGTAAATCCAACCTTTTTCCTCCTCTTCGCCGCCGCCGGATTCACTACTATAACTCCATTTCAACCATTTAATTTTTCTATCATCCAATCATAGTTGTATGACGGAGGAGGTCATGTAATCTAAATTATTTGAATCGGATATCTATTGAAATCTGTCATTAAAATGTTTCTAACCTCAAATTTATAATTTAATATGTCGAATGTGAATTAGTCATTTCTAGTGAATATACAATATATTAAAAGAATTAAAACATCAAAAGTTGCTTAGATATACATATAATTTAGGACTATTTAGAGGAGATTTGAGTGAATAACGTATCTAAAAGGATAATATTTTTTTTCTCAAATAACATAACAAGCTTTAATTTCTTTACAACATAATTTATAAATCATTCAAAACTAAGCAATATTTCTTCAAAAAGGAACAGCACAAGATAGAACTAACATAAATAAAATAACAATAAAAATAGGATATAGCTAAGGAAATAACAGAAATATTATAAAATCATTCAAAATCCCAAGCATTCTCTCTACGGATCTCCTCCTCTTCCACTGGAGTATAATCATTCGCGATACCAAATACTTCACGTATTTCCTCTATTGGTTTCCCTTTGATCCTATTAGCAAATTCTTGGATTACTACCTCAGTCAATTGCTTATCATCAAAAAAATTTGCAGCCAAGAGAACACCAACTAATTCTAATTGGCTCATCTTCAAGAAATCCTGATCAAAACTCTTTAACTGTTCTTTTGTAACACCTTCTTTCGAATATTTTTTTCAATACTGAACCACTTTTGTCATTGTTTTGCCATCAACATTAGACAAGGAAAGGACATTAGAAGTACAATCAACGTTTTGTACCATGTTCTTGATGACTTCTGACCTCATAGCTACAACCTCAGTGTGTTTGAATTCCTCACCATCGCTAGTCTTGAAAGTTATGAGTTTTTCTGAAGACATGACAAAGAAAATAGAAAGAGTTAGGAATGAATGATTTCACTACATGAGACTAGCTTGGTCTTTTATAGTGTATTAGGTTTTCATTACTTTCCCAAGTTGTGGTAGGAATATGGAAAGCTAAATATTACATTGACCAAAATTTATTATTTTTTCTTTTTTGAAGTTTAATTAATTTGCTTTTTAAAATATACCTATTATGTCTTAAATTATTATGATAATGATATAATTTAAAGTGACAAGGAAAGTTTAAACTCATTGTTTCTTTAGTCATCTACTAGAAGACGAGTCATTTCTGATAGTTATTAAAATCGCTTTGTTTGACTAAATTTTCAATAAAAGTAATCGAGAAACTAAAACAATAGAATGACCATTTGATCATTTACTGATTATGTCTATGTCTACTCGGATCTTCTTCGGGCAATTGGGTAAGTTTAAATAAATAAAAATTCGACATCGTCGCAACTATACATTATTTTGAGTGAATAATATATCTAGAGAATAGAAATATTGAGAGTAGCTAATAATATCTAAATTTTGTATTGTTTAGTGGAGACTTGAATAGATATCCATTGAAATCATTCATTAAAAGCTTTTGAATCTCAAAATTTAAAATTTGATCTACCACAAATTTAAATTGATCATTTCTAGTGAAAATATAATATACTAAAATAATCGAAACATTGAGATTTGCTCATATCTATAATTTAGGACTATTTAGAGGAGATTTAAACTAGTCGATATTGAAAAAAATTCAACTCGTGAGGAAGATGCGTTGTAATGTATAAATATTATGTCACTGTTTTTGTGATTATTCATACATATCTAATGTATAGCTATAGATCATACATATATACAATCTTACACTATTTATATAATATTGATACATTACATATACATTCAGCCATTTAATTAAATAAGAATTTGGTCAATGATACATTTACTTGAGAAGCCGTAGTAAATATTGCCCTAAATTTTGGAATATTACTAGTATTTTTTCATACAATTGTAACAATTTACTTCTTCTATTGTAATATTTTAAGCTCACCCACTATCACCTTGCAAGATGCACTATATATTGTGCAAAATGAAAGATGATACATATATACGTTCCTCCAATTAATATTTTTTAGTTTCTTCACCCAGTGTTTAATATCTGCATTAAAGTTTAATTAATTTGAATTCGCGCCAAGTAGGATCTCACTCGGACTGTAGCGTTTTTCTATACATTCTTCCAACAATTTTCTTTATATTAAGTCAATTGGACATGCTTTGAACGAAAATAACTCAAAATTATTAAAAAAATAAATGTAGATATTTCTTTTTGAGATATCAATTCATCTTTTAACCATTTGGATGAATGTTTTTTTTTTCAAATTTAATATAAATAGCTTCAATTTCTTTTCAACATAATTTATAAATTTATAAATCAATAAAAATCAAATAAAAATTCTATAAAAAAGAACATAAGAAGATAGAACTAAATAAAATAGGATATAGCTAATTAGACAATTTTAATTCTAAATTAATTTTTTTTTTGAAAATAACTATAAAATCATTCAAAGTCCCAAGCATTCTCTTTACAGATCTCTTCTTCTTCCTATGGAGTAAAATCATTCTTGATATCAAATTCTTTGCATATTTCTTCTTGTGTTTTCCCTTTAATCCTATCGGCAACTTCTTGACACATCATATCCAATATCTCCTTATCGTTAAGAAAATTAACAACTAAGATAAGAGCATGCAAAATCGAGTGGTGCACCTTCACAAAAGCCTTGTCAAAATCCATCAACATGTCTTTGGAGACGCCTTCCTCCAGTATTCGATCACTTTGGTCATTGTTTTGCTATGAACATTAGGTAGGGGAATGACATTTGAAACACAATCATCTTCAACCATATTCTTGATAGTTTGTGATCTTACAACTATCACCTCGTCGAGTACAAATTCTTTACCATCGTAAGTCTTTAGAGTTAAGAACTTTGTGGAAGAAGACATGGATGATCAATATATATTTGAATCAAATGATTATAATGTTTGAGAGGTTTGAAGGACTTAATTTATAGAGCATTAAATTACACTATCCTAATTAAAGTAGAAAGTCAAAACCGAAAAAATAAGTTTGATGGGAGAATCACTTTTGCATTAACAATGTCAAATTAGGAAGTTGTGAAAATTCTACCTAAACCATATGTATGTGACAAAATAAGATTAGGAAAAGGAAGCCTTTTTTTTCTTCCAAATCTCAATTAGGAGAAAAATTAGTTTTTCTGTAATATCTAACCATGATGTTTGAAAAGTTGTAAACACATACATAATTATTCATGGAGACTATTGCTTAAAGAAATATAAAATTTCTTGTAATTGGAGTTAGTGGGGATTTTAAAGATTCAATCTTTATCACTCAGAATAAATGTAACAGATAGGAAGATGGTAATAGTAAATTTGAATAATTAAACAGAATGACCATTTGGTGGAGATCCTGTAATCTACATTTTAGGATTGTTTAGTGGAGATTTAAATCGAATATCCATAGAAATCTGTCATTAAAACGTTTCAAACCTCAAATTTTAAAATTTGATCAACAACAAATGTGAATTGATCATTTCTATAGAATCTATAATATTTAAAAGAATTAAAACATTGAAAGTTTCCCATATCTATAATTTAGTATTATTTAGAAGAGATTTGAGCTGGTCGATATTGGAAAAACAATCAACTCGTGAGGAAAATGCGTTGCAATGTATAAATATTATTTAAATGTGTTTCTGATTATATATACATATATGATATATAATGTACATCACACATATATACGATCAAACATTATTTATAAAATATCGATACATTACATGTACATACAATCATTCAATTAATAAGCATTTTGGTCAATGATACAATTATTTGTGAAGCCGTAGTAATTATTATCCTAAAATTTGGAGTATTACAAGTATTTTTTCATAGCAATTGTAATAATTGATTTCTTTTGTCGTAATATGTTAAACCATCTGTTAATAACTTGCAAGATGCACTATATATTGTGCAAAAGGAAAGACGATACATATATACATTCCTCCAATTATTATTTTATAACTTTTCACTCAATGTTTAATAGTTGTATTAAAATTCAACTAATTCGAATTTGTGCCAAGTAGGATCTCACTTTGACTATAACACTTCCTTTCAAGAATTTTTCTATACGTTCTTCCAATCTCTATCTTCTTACCCAAATCAAGTCGAAGAATATTTTTTAAGCTCTAGCACCATTTAACATTATTATTGAATTTTTAAAAGTGACATGTAAACCAATATAACCTTATATTAAAAGTGAAACTCCATAATGTTTCTCTCTTGTTTTTTAAGTTTTAAACTTTAATAGTCTTTTAAAGGATTCCCTAATACTTAAATTTTTTTTGTTGTTTTATGAGTAACTTCAAAGAAAAGCTATGTTAAGAGATTTTTCAATACTTAAATTGTGTCAATTAATTAAGAAAATTTATCAACTATGCTTTGAATGAAAATAACTCAAAATTATTATAAAAAATAAATTTGAATATTTCTTTTTGGGATATCAAATTTATCTTTCAATTGTTTTTTTTCAAATTTTATATAAATAGCTCTAATTTCTTTTCAACATAATTTATAAATTTATAAATCAATAAAAACCAAACAACAATTATATAAAAAAAGAACAACAGAAGATAGAACTAAATAAAATAGGATATAACTAACTAGATTGTTCCGATTCTAGAATAAAAAAAGAACAAAAAATTAAAAATAACATCAGTGTTATAAAATCATTCAAAAGCCCCAAGCATTCTCTTTACGAATCTTCTCTTCTTCCTCTGGAGTAAAATCATTCTTGATATCAAATTCTTTACGTATTTCTTCTGGTGTTTTTCCTTTAACCCTATCGGCAACTTCTTGACACATCATATCCAATATCTCTTTATCGTAAGAAAATTAGCAGCTAAAATAAGATCGTACAAAATCGAGTGGTGCACATTCACGAAAACCTTGTCAAAATCTATCAACATGTCTTTGGAGACGCCTTCTTCTGAATGTTTCTTCCAGTATTCGATCACTTTGATCATTGTTTTGCTATGAACATTAGGCAAGGGAATGATGTTTGAAACACAATCGTCTTCAACCATATTCTTGATAGCTTGTGACCTTACGGCTATTGCCTCGTCCAGTACAAATTCCGAGAATATTATTGAAAGAAGATTTGAAGAATTATACTGTCTCAGAGGTCTGGACGGCTTAATTTATAGAAGATTAGATTTTCGTTGTTCTAGTTGAAGTAGGAAGTCAAAAGGGGAAAAAAAGAGTTTGGGAAAATCTGTTTTGTGTCAAATTAGGTAATTGTGAAAATTTTATCTAAATGTATGTATGTGACCGAATAAAATTAGAAAAAGGAAGCCTTTTTTTTTTCTCTTCCAAATCTCAATTAGGAGAAAAAATAATTTTAATTTTTATCACTAATATCTAACCATGGTTAACCCTAGGAAATAGATGTGGTTCGAGCTGTCCCTGAGAATTTTGAGTGTGAATGGGATTGAGAAAGCTTCTCTTTTTTGGTGTACCGGAATTTCAGAGCTCATATTCCAGGTACTTAATTATTCATTCCAAGAAAATTTATGGAGACTATTGCTTAAAAAAATGAAAATTTCTTGTAATTGGAGTGAATGGGTGTTTGAAAAATCCAATCTTTATCAATCAGAACATATGTAACAGGTAGGAAGATGGTGATGGGTATAAGAAAGCGCTTGTTGGGTATCTTTTTGCAAAATTATGCCTTTGGAGAATGGTGTTTGAAAAGTTGTAAACACATCTTTAAGCTTTCACTAAGTTTTTTTTAACCCTAAATAAGAGGGAAATTGAGATTGTATCTGATTTCCTGTAATCCGATAAGTGGAATCTGGTGAGGGTAGGATGTATGCAGACCTTATCCCTGCGTAGAGAGACGGTTTCTGATAGACCCTTGAAACTAACAATAGTGATGAACTGATGATAAATAGAACTAACAATAGTGATGAACTGATGATACAAAAAACTAACAATAGTGATGAACTGATGATAAATAGAGTGAATGTATGACTTGTGTTCTCTGTTTAGTGATCCTTAGATCTCTGTGAAACTCTTCTGCCATAAATGTGTGTCTTTCTTAGTAACAAATAAATAAAAACAAAAAAAAGGAGCTGCATCTAGTGACATTTTTATAGTGTTTGTGTAAACTTCTGGCGAAAATTGTTTATCTATAGGTTTTGGCTGTTGGTCCTCTTTATTTTGTTTTCCTACTTATATTATCTGTTTATTTATCCTGTTTGTAACTTGCTTACTTCTCTCTGCTTGTTCTCATTGGTTTGTTTTCTTCTTTCTGGTGTTTAGATCAATAAGAAATACTTTTACTTTGTCTGGAATTAGAAATAGGAAGAATGGCTACTTTGGTTGAAAGAAAGAGGAAGAGTCGTTTCAGAATGGAGCCTGATTTATTGATGATGAATTTAAACCATCGAATTGGAAATGAAATAGTTTAGTCATGTTTTTCATTTCGATTCCGCCCACCCAGTGATAACATTGAGATAATTTACTTCAAGCTGATACCCAATGTCTAACAGTCTGAGCACCTGAGTTGCAGGTTCACCATACTGCGGTTTCACTGGTTTTATAGTCTACACTCCTATTTGAGGTTCAAGACTAAAAAATTGGTTGTAGAGATGTACTTTGAATGTAGCCTTGTGTATGAACTCTCATTTTTGGCATAATCATATTTGTTTCAGTTCAAATATGATTAGAATTCCTAAGTAACACTTATCCTGTTTGAAAGTCATTTTTCTATAACTCTAAGCATTACTCTCATTTTGCTGTGCGCATGCAGTCAGGTTTAATAAGGCAGACCAACTTGAATGTGGTGTTCTTATGGGTTTATGGATTTGGATTTTTGAGTTGTATTATGAAATTGTTGGACTTCTGAGTGGTTACTGGTACTTCATTTTATTTTCAGCTTTTGATTTGTGCAGATTCCCTTTAGTCATTTGTTTGTCATACATACACAAGCTAGCTACACCTTTATCTATCATACAGTTGCGAGACAGTGTAGCATCTTCCAGTTTCCATTATCTTTCTCCAGCACATGAGCTTCATTAAGGGTTCATTCAAGGAAAAAGCAGTATAATACCAACTTAGAGTGTATCAAGAGAAGAGAAGAGTCTGGCAGTTTCAAGACCCATAATGATTAAACTCTTTGATTCTCATTGTCACCTCCAAGATCCAAGGATCCTTAATATGGTCCCAAAAATTATTAAGACCACGACTGAAACAGGAGTTGTCCATTTTGCTGTCAATGGCTTGTCAGAGAAAGATTGGCATTTGGTCAAGGAAATGAGTGAATGCTACCCTTGTATTGTTCCAAACTTTGGGCTCCATCCCTGGTTTATAACTGAGAGGACTCCTAATTGGCTGAAAACCTTGAGAGGATTTTTGGAGTCTACTCCTGCTGCTGCAGTTGGAGAGATTGGTTTAGATAAAGGTTCATTTGGAAGGAAGATTGATTTCGCTGATCAGGTGGATGTCTGTCGACAGCAGCTTCAACTTGCCAAAGAGTTGGAAAGACCAGCATCCATACATTGTGTTCGTGCTTTCGGGGATCTGCTTGAATTATTGAAATCTGCGGGGCCTGTTCCTGCTGGTTTCATCCTGCACTCGTACCTCGGCTCTGCCGAAATGGTTCCTGAATTTGCTAAGCTTGGTGCTTACTTCTCCTTCTCTGGGTTCCTTATGTCCATGAAGGAAATCAAGGCGAAGAAAATGTTAAAGTCAATTCCTAAGGACAGGATCTTGTTGGAGACAGATGCACCAGATGCTTTGCCAAAATTGAGCAATCCGGATTCTCTGTATTTGATCGAGAAGGAAGCTTCATCAGCTGATGGAACATCAAGTGGAGGAATTAATGATGGAAATCCATCTGAGAAATCACCGGAGGAGGACAAAGGCAATGAACAACAGGCAGAAGAAATCCATAACCATCCTGCAAACATTCACCATGTACTCTCCTATGTTGCATCACTACTTGAGCTGACAAAAGAAGAACTTGCTGAGATAAGCTTTGCAAATGCTTCTCGGCTATTTTCTTATGAAGGTTCAAAGGTACTGCAAGAGGTAAAATAACTTGTCTATGACATGCAGTTGACACTGTGCTACATGCTCAGTATTCCTTTTCTAGGTACCGGTCTTATGTCTCACTAAATTGCCTTGGTGGTTGTGCGTGCAAGGTGGTCCTCTACAGGTCTTAAAATGATGTTGCATAACATGACTATTGGTTTCCTAAGAAGAAATGCTGCTTCAGTTTTGATATCTGCTACTGCTAGTGATACTTCAATTAGTTCCTGTGTATTATGACTCAACTACTATAATTCATTCTAAAATGTTTCATTGATTCATAAGTATATTTTTTCTAACCACATGTCCTCTATCTTCTGCAACAGGTATGAGGCAGGAACTGAAAATTGTGTTAATAAGCAGCACAGATAAAATCATTGTTAGGCTTTTTACAATTTGATACTTGGGTTATCAGTACATCAAACTCTTGGCTTTTACTGTACCTATAGGCTCTTTTCCAGTTGAAGCTCCACATAACATATAGCATAATCCTTCTCTACTTTCTAAAATATTGTTCCATGTCACTTTTTACCAAGGTTCAACAATATTTTGTTTTGAATTTTATCATGATTGTGAATATTGATAAATTAGAGTATCAATGTAATTTTACCACTTATAGAGTATTTATCTCGAAAAAATAAAAATAATTGAAATTTCTACTAAAAATTATCACAAAAATTTCAAAGGAAAGCTTCAAAAAGCTTAGATAATAGGTTTCTCTGGTACATTGGTTTTATTATTTTCATTAATTGGTTCTTTCTTTATAGTTTATTATTATGATTACTGTTTTTATAGATGAAAGACAATATTGCTTAATTATTTTCATTGTCATTTTTACTGAAGTTCAATAGATCTTTAGTTTTGAATTTAATCATTGTGTTGATAGAAAACAAAGTTAAGAAGTTAAGCAAACAATTTAAGATTATTTTCTATGATGTAATTGATATTGAATAACACGTGCAACACATATATTCAGAAACTAATTAATATATATAGGTGAACATTATTTTTTTCCCTTCAACTTTGTTCAAAACATCCAACTCTTACCTCAACTTGAACTAAGCATAGTAATTCTGTTCATAATGTTACTTATGAATGTGGTTGCTAAGAATTCATACAATCATGCTAACTTGTTTAGACTAGAAGCAGACATGTTGTTGAACAATTGTAAGTTTCTAGCCGTTTCTATATAATATTTTTTTGTTCTTTTTTATTTGTCAAATTTTGATTTGACACACATATTAAGAGAATTATTGTTTCTTGATTTGTCAAAAATGACAAGTAAAAAGGGGAAATCAAATTAGAAAATATTTGACAAGTAAATAGAGACGGAGGGAGTAGTAAAGTAAAATAATTCACGGATTAAGGCTTTATTTGTACTTTCAAAATAAATAATTGTTTAGTTATAAAGGAGAATTTAATTTAATTTATTTTTTTGGAATTTTTTAAAAATTTACAAAATCAATAAAAGTATAAGTAATAATTAAAAAAGTCTTTTTTTTTTTTTTTTCATTATATGAGGGACAATTTCATCATCGTTGTCTAGATTTTGGGAAAATATAGTCTCAGCTACAAAACTTTGATTATTACTCAATATTTACGATTTTCACAGTATCTGTAAATCCCTAATGGACCTATTGCGATCCTACGCCGAGGACGATGAAATCGCTAACCCTGATTCCCAATCTTCGCCGGATTCTTCCCCAATCCGAATGCTTCCTTCTAAATCCGCCGCCCCTAAAGTCGACGACACCATGCTAGCCCTAACAGTTGCCGGCGAAGCTGCAAGAGCTCAATCCAAACCCCTTGATCCGACCCAGCACCTCGTTGGATTCAACCCGACATACGAACAACTATGGGCACCAATTTGCGGTCCAGCTCACCCGTACGCAAAGGACGGGTTAGCTCAAGGACTCAGAAATCACAAGCTAGGGTTCGTTGAGGACGCGTCCATTGAACCCTTTGTATTTGACGAGCAGTACAATACTTTTCAGAAGTATGGGTATGCTGTTGATCCCTCTGAAAATAGCTACATCGGTGATTTGGAAAAAATGAAGGAATGTGATGCAATTTCTGTGTATAACATACCACAGCATGAACAGAAGAAGAGGAAGTTAGAGAAAAAGAAGGAAAAAATGGAGGAGGAGGAGGGTGATGAGCAGGACGTGGATATGACGGAAGTTGAAAATCCGTCCACAGACACATGGTTGATGAAGAACAGGAAGAGTCCATGGGCTGGAAAGAAAGAAGGGTTGCAAGTGGAATTATCTGAGGAGCAGAAAAAGTATGCTGAAGAGTATGCTAAGAAGAAGGGTGAAGAAAGAGGCGGTGATAAAGATAAGGCGGAGCCTATGGTTGAAAAGAGCACATTTCATGGTAAAGAGGAAAAGGATTATCAGGGCAGGTCTTGGATTGCTCCACCGAAGGATGCAAAGGCTGCTAATGATCATTGTTATATACCAAAGAGATTAGTTCATACTTGGAGTGGACACACGAAAGGGGTTTCAGCTATTAGGTTTTTCCCTAAGCATGGTCATTTGATTTTGTCAGCTGGGATGGATACAAAGGTGAAGATTTGGGATGTTTACAATTCCGGTAAATGTATGAGGACTTACATGGGGCATACAAAGGCAGTGAGGGATATTTGGTTTAGCAATGACGGGTCGAAGTTTTTGACAGCTGGATATGATAAGTACATTAAGTATTGGGATACAGAAACAGGACAAGTAATTCAAACCTTCACGACAGGTAAGATACCCTATGTGGTGAGGCTTAATCCTGATGAGGATAAGCAGAATGTACTTTTGGCTGGTATGAGTGATAAGAAGATTGTGCAGTGGGATATAAACAGTGGACAGATTACACAAGAGTACGATCAACATCTGGGGGCAGTTAATACAATTACCTTTGTGGATAATAATAGGAGGTTTGTGACCTCTAGTGATGATAAATCACTACGTGTTTGGGAATATGGTATTCCGGTTGTTATCAAGTATATAAGTGAACCCCATATGCATTCCATGCCATCTATTTCGCCCCATCCAAATGGGAATTGGATTGCAGCACAAAGTTTGGATAACCAGATTCTTATTTATAGTACACGAGAGAGATTTCAGCTGAATAAAAAGAAAAGATTTGCTGGACACATTGTCGCTGGTTATGCCTGCCAGGTCAATTTCTCACCTGATGGACGGTTTGTCTTCTCAGGAGATGGTGAAGGCAGATGCTGGTTTTGGGATTGGAAATCGTGTAAGGTCTTCAGAACTCTCAAGTGTCATGACGGGGTCTGTATTGGTGCAGAGTGGCATCCTCTGGAACAAAGTAAAGTTGCTACTTGTGGTTGGGATGGTTTGATCAAATACTGGTAAGCTTTATGATCCTTGCTTTAAGAATTATGTTTATGTAGATTGATCTTTTATTGCTCTGTCCCGTCGTAGAATTTTAGTTGTAAAAGTAGTCGTGACATGGATAGCGAAAAATGCTCTCCTTGTATATCCACATAGCTGATACCCTTTTTTTTTGTTAAATTATCATCATAGCTGATACCATAATTAGGATTTAATTATCTTTAGTGTGATCTGAAACTTATCTGTAGATTTGAATTGCCACTGAATCTGTCACTCCTATCTTGATCCACGGATGAAGTACTCTCATTACCTATTTCCCAAAAAAGAAGATGCCCACAACAACAAAAAAGAGTTTTAGACATCTAGCCTTTAACACGTATATGAGAGTGTAGTGACTCCTTCAAAACATTCTAAATACACCAAAAGATGCATGGTGGAACTATTTGCCGTATAATCTTCACTGATTGCCAACTCTCCAGAGGCCCCAGGTAGCACAAGCTTCCTTAACAGTGTAGGGCATTACTCAACTAACCCCAAAAAGATTCAAAAACATACTCCAGATGTCTTTGTCAACTTGATAGTGAAGTAGAGGTGGCTGATGCTTTCAGATTCTTGGGTAGCACATACCACCTGTTGCAGAGCACAATCCTCTTTCGGTGAGGTATTTTTGGGATAGACAAGCTTCTAAAATAGCTAACTAGCTGAAACAGGCTATCTTTGTTGGATTTTTTACCTTCCAAACTTGTTTCCTAAAAGACAATACTTCAGCGATACTACTACTGCTCCAAAGATTAGTATAGCATGATTTTTGACAGAAAAAATACCATTTTTACGACAACTCCATGCCATTACGTCTTTCAGAAGAAAATGGAGAATCCATGTCAACTATCCAATGAGGAGCTTAGCTCATTTTCCTCCTGGTCTAGGATATTCCTTCTAAATGCTAAACTACTAGAGTTTCCTTGCCAACAGTTTATGATTGATGCTTGGGGCTGTTCAGTTAATTGGTAGAGTCCTGGAAAAAATTTCTGCAAAATGCTGTTCCCAGCCATTTATCATCCCAAAATTTTATATATTCTCCATTCTCAACCATGAAATAAGTGTGTTTACTGAAGACTTCCCCCAACTTGCTTGTGTATGTTGCGATGTGAAGCGTTAGGGACTTTGGTATGCCAGTGATTTAACTCTCTGTGTTTACCTTAATTATCTGCCTCCAAAGTGATTATTCTTCATGTCACACATTTTTTAACTTTTTACCTTTCTTGCATTGCATATATATTGTATTTGTGAATTAGTTTTTCACGTTGCATATAGTATCTCTCTTCATTTACGTCTATCTTCGTGAAGATGTGCTCTTGAAGCCCTGAGCAATCTTGGTGCTTTTCTGCAATTTTTTGTTACAGCATTTGCACTTCATTTTGTGACTTGATGAGCTTGTTTTTGAATCAAGAGCAGAGATGAATATATTGAGAATAGAAAGGGAAAAAAAGGAAAAGATGAATTCTGTGGATTTTTTCACTGACTGGGAAAAATATGAACTTTATGGATTTTTTCTTCTTTTTTCAATGCCTGCTGTCATGGAAGGGGGAATGAAGGGGGGGGGGGGGGGAGGGGGGGGGGAGGGGGGGGGATGCTAGGGAAGAAACTAGTAGCACTTGGTCCAGGAAGTAACAATCTGCCACATCGCTTGATTGTCTGCCATTGCAATTAAAACATAAAAGACTTTGAATTAGGATTTTCAAATCCTCAAATGACAACTGCAACTTAATCCAATTTCAAAAAGAAAAAAACATCATACCTTTAATGGATCAGTGTTAAATTCATGACTTCTGAAAGACAAAAAGAACCAAATTTTAAGGAAGCATCTTCACTGATCGCTTGATTGTCTGCCATTGCAATTAAAACATAAAAGACTTTGAATTAGGATTTTCAAATCCTCAAATGACAACTGCAACTTAATCCAATTTCAAAAAGAAAAAAACATCATACCTTTAATGGATCAGTGTTAAATTCATGACTTCTGAAAGACAAAAAGAACCAAATTTTAAGGAAGCATCTTCACTGACTTGTCACAGATTTTTTTAAACTTCCACAGCAATTTGGAAGTGAAAGGTCCCTTCTAAAGTTTGTTTATGAGGTCGTCTGTCAGTTTCTGTGACTCTTCTTGGCAATTCCTTAGGAGATAGGTGCAGTTCAACTTCCAATTAATGTTTTTGAGACTTTTGCCAGTTTCCTTAAATGTATCCTCTTGTCAATCCCTTGAGAGGCGATACATTGTAACTTACTACCAACAAGAGAGGGTTAAAGCACTTCCACTCGTGCTGTTTTCTGTCATTAATGAATATCTGTTATTGGGATGAATGGCCTCTATTTGGGGGGAGGGGGTGTTATCAGTAGATATATTTCTCATCCAGAATATCAATTAGATCTATCGTTCTCTTCCTCTGGAGGAGGATAACTGTATTTTCAGTTCGCTTCTCGCCTTCTCCTTATTGTGTTGCGTCTTGTTTGTACATGTGTGCTTGTATTTTGAGGCAGATTCACTTTTCTTATTCCTGGTGTTCAACAGACATGCTAACCTTATCTCTGGTGCTTGCAGGGACTAGTTTTTGAGCAGCCATTTATGTCTGCATTTATTGTGAGGATAACATGTTCACTATCGGTTGGCTATAGGAATCAAGACACTCTTATATGCAGTGGGTGATCAACTCGTCTGGGACACGTTGGCTAGAGGGACCAAGTTATGAATGCATTTGTTGGTCAATGCTAGTCTTTACCTCTGTAAAACAGGTTTTCTTCTTAGATGGATTTCTTTGGTTGAGGTTGTACCCATAGTTACTAACAGAGGGACATGTAACTGTCAGTCAAGTTAATGATATTCCATAAGACAAGTTAGTTGGAGAATCAGTTCTTGCATTTTCCTCTCAATGTCATGCACGAATGAAGTTTATGTTGTATATTGTTTTTGTTATTTCGATCTCTTTTTTCCGTCCTGGCCTTCCAACATGGATTGTGTTTGAGGATATAGAAGTTGCAGTTCTTTCACCTTTTTCGATTAAATTGTATGCAGACACCCAGTGTTCTATATCACTTCTTTTTTCTTCGAACTGGTCTTATACTTGGAGATTTTTGCAATGTGCTTCAGCTGTGCATTTTCTTTTCTATTTGAACTTGGTTGAATTACACTTTGAAGCATTTAACTGCAATGTCATAATAAACTTTTAACTGGGTTCTCCTTGACGGCGGTGTGCCACGGTAGAAAAGGCATGACTTTGAGAGCCTAGCTTGTTCCCCATAGAAAAGTGTCATGATATTCTCAAGAAAATATATACTTTACAAAGTCACAATCAAGCTTGTTGCAGCCTGCAGGTGCCACCAGGGACACCAGCCTCTCATGAAGAAAAACGACTGATGCAACTTTAAGAAGTCCCAACCACAAATGAGTAAAAACTGGTTGTCACAGAAAATGATAGAAATTTCTATCTTCCTTGCTAACTAACACACGAAAATTAATTATCTTGAGACCTCTCTGAATCGTATCAATAGGTTACACAACAACAAAAACTTGCATTACACACTGTTACTGGTGGTAAATGCAAGATCACAGAGGAAGTGTCTATTCACACCAATGTCTTGTGCATCAACTTAGTCATCCTTTTTCAGTTTCAACTTTGCTTCGACATCACCACTGTAAGGAGCCACATGGTATGCATATTGCTGCATAACAGAAAAGAAAACCATCTCCACACAAATTAAAACATTCTGAATGGCTTCCTGAAGGTGCTCCACATCCAACCAAAAATGGTGAGATTTGATAATTCCCCACGAGACTAGAATTTTAACCAGCAACCCCTACAAAATTCAGAGATGAATAGTTTATTGCACCAGTGGAGGTAAAAACATATCTCAGTCAAGCAAAGCATCGAACGGAGAGAGGCTTCCTCACAGAAACAACACAACAAAGAAACCAATACCTCCTTTTTGAGAAGTTGAAAGAATTTCAATAGTAATGGCATGCAAGTCAAGAGGATCTAAACAGGATTCAATATTTTAATGGTGGTATTTTTGTATCCTTTGCTTGATGATGATTGTTGACTAGCAGGACACATTATTTATTTTTTGATAACCTAGAAATCCCGAGAGTCAGTGGCTCGTGATTTGAAACTCAGTGGATAATGGATCTGCTCTCTACCTTTCTCCACTTAAATACCTTGTTGTTGGTCCGCGGCAGGGTTTGAACTCGTGACGTGAGCCTAACCTTTACATCACGTTTCCCTGCGGTAACTAACAGGATTCACTTATATTATCCTATAACCAGTTCATTACAGTGATTCCATGCCTCAAACTCACACAACGGATATCCATCCACCAATCAAACTTCAGAGGAGATGATTGTAAAAGAATAACAGCTATCTACTCCTAATGACATAACCTTTTAGAGGAGGTTGGAGGCAGACATATTAAAGACCTTTAATTTTCACTTGTTTGGTCAGATAGTTGCTCGGATGGTAAGCACCCCTCACTTCCAACCCAAAGGTTGCGAGTTCGAGTCACCAAGGGAGCAAAAAGGGGTGGGAGCTCCTAGGGACGGTAAAAAAAATAATGTGAGCCCAACCGCAGAACCCATTTGTGCGCTCTTCTACGTCTCAATCATCTTGACCTAAGTTGCATGGACTATTCACTTTCGATGTTGCACCCGTGTCATATTACCAAAAATACACTACTTTTGGAGAATCCGACACGCGCGACATTTTTGAAGAGTCCGAGCAAACACAGATTTTGACATCTTGTTGTCAAAATAATGAAACCAAGTCCTCCATATAGAAATCATTTTCCCAAGCTACAGATAAACCTAGAAGTACATAGAGAGTTCAGTGTCCCTTGGTGTGTTTTGGTTCCATTACAGGTTTGCACACAGATGTAGAGGATAGCAGTAAAAGGTTTGGCATGAGGCACAACCAAATGAAGATGTTCCCATCCCTGCAAATAAGCAAAATCTCTCCCCCCTGCCCATACCACTCCCACAAAGACGCAGTGAGGAAACAGCATCAGAGGAACTTAATACGTATTGGTTGTTGGTCAAAATTAGCAGAAACTTACACCTAGGTAAAACCAAATCTAAAATAAGTCAAGTCTTTTGATTTATAATTACTAATAGAAGTCCCTTAATGGGTTTGGCTCCATTTCAATACATGTAACGACAAACCCATTAAGGGACTTCTATTACTAGTTATAAATCGAAAGACTTGACATATTTTGGATTTGGTTTTACACTTCGTACTGGGTATTCAAACTCGCTACTCTTACACCTCAACCAGTCCATTATGCCCTTGGGAGTAGGGCTACTATAACCTTATGCTGCCTCTATAGATTACAAATATTTTCATCCTTTCTTTCAAATAACGCTTTAAAAAGTGAAAAGCAAAGAAAGCCATCGCTGAAAGGACCGTCGATCTTAACATAAAATAATTATCATTAAATTCTATAATGCCACAAAAAGATAACGATGATAATCAAATTACTGTTCAATGTTAGTTGATTAACCGTCAATTGCTCCAGCTACTGTAGTAACAAAGCAGAAAGACAGGTCCAAAGTGAACATAGCTTCACCCGCCAACAACCCCTAACTTCATAGTAGAAGCAAATGAATCACATAATTCAGAAAAAAAAAAAGAAAAATAGAAAAAGATGTTGTAGAAGAGGAAGCTTTACAGATTCAAGAAGAAAAGAAGACAAACACGACAATGAATTGATGAAGCATGGGCAAAGAATAATCGTAGGAGTCAAATATCAAATGACCATAAACCTCCATTTTCTCTTTTTGTCTTACTTTATAATCAAATTGAAAAAATCAAGAGAATTTGTAAAGTGCACATTTCTCCATAGTGCATCTTCGCATCCACGAGCCAACAACTCATCGCTTCATAGTAAAAGTAGACGACTCACATACTTGGAATAAAATGTTAAGTAAGAAGTGTAGAAATCAAAGTTATAGAAGAGGAAGTGTGACAAATTCAAGAAAAGAACACAACAACAATAATGTATTGATGAGAGTAATCTTAGTAGCCGAGTACCAAATGATCCTACTTTCCCCCGTTGTTTCTCTTTATTTCCATCCTTTTTGATTAAAAAACAACAAATCAAGAGAGTTTGGAAAGTGAACATGTTTGCAAAGTGTATTGCTTCTCCATGAGCCAACAACCATTTGCTTCGTAGTAGTGTTTCTCTTTATTTCCATCCTTTTTGATCAAAAAACAACAAATCAAGAGAGTTTGGAAAGTGAACATGTTTGCAAAGTGTATTGCTTCTCCATGAGCCAACAACCATTTGCTTCATAGTAGAAGAAATTTACTCACACACTTGAAATGAATAGAAGAAAGAAAAGAAGATTAGGAAAAAAACAGAAACAGAAGTTGTAGAGAAAGGAACAATTACAAATTCGACTATCTGAGAAGCGATGGGTTGCAGAAATGATTCTAAAGCGCACATTTCTGCAAAGTGCATCTTTGCACCCTCTAGCCAGCAACCCATCGCTTCTCACATACTTAGAAATAAAATGTAAAGTAAGAAGAATAGAAATCAAGGTTATAGAAGAGGAACTGTTACAAATTCAAGAAAAGAAAACAACAATAATGAATTGATGAGAATCATCTTAGTAGTTGATTACCAAATGATCCTATTTCCCCCATCCTTTTTGATTAAAAAAAAAAGAAACAAGAAATCAAGAGAGTTTAGAATAGTAGAAGAAAATTACTCACATACTTGGAATAAAAAGAAAAAAAAGAGTAAATTAAGAAGAATAACAGAAATAGAAGTTGTAGAGGAGGAACCATTAGAAATTCGAGAAATTTAAGAAGAGACAACAAAATGATTTGATTCGGGGTGGCCCAGTGGTTTGGGCTTGGGACTTCCATGTTGGAGGTCTCAAGTTCAAAACCCCTTGCCAGCGAAAGCAAGGGGTTTGCCTTCTGGGTCGAGCTCGTCGCACCGGGCTTGCCTAGTGCGGGTTACCTCTCCTATGTGGTTTGTGAGCTATTGCATAGGAGTGGGGGTTTTACCCTGTGCACACCCAAAAGGGTAGCGGCTGCGGGTTTCCCTTTTCATAAAAAAAATAAATGATTTGATGAAGCATAGACAAAGGATAATTTTAGTCTAATACCAAATGATCCTATTTTTCCCTCTGCTTTCTCTTTTTCTCTTTTTTACTACTCAAATTCAATCAATGAAGGGATTTTGCAAAGTGCATCATTTGACCCACGAACCAACAATCCCTCGCTTCATAGTAGAACCAAATGACTCACATACTAAGAAAAAATAATTCTAAAAGAAAATAGAAAAAGAAGCTGAAGACGAGAGGAAGCTTTACAGATTCAAGAAGACAACAATGACAATGAATTGATGAAGTATAAGCAAAGGAAATGTAAGAAGTAAAATAGAATTGATGAAGCATAGGAAAAGAAAAATCGTAGTAGTCAAATACCAAGTGACCTTATTTGTTCCCCGGTTTTCACCTTTTTCTCTCCTTTTTGATCAAATTGAATGAATCAAGAGAGTTGGCAAAACACACATTTATGTAAAACAAACAGTTGCTTATTTCTGGGTTTGGGGGGGCAGAGGAGATGAGTTGGAGTCTCTACCTGCCAAAAGCTGAAGAAAACTATCCCTTTGATGCAGATGAACTTTGAAAGTGGTTTGTGTGGCTGCAGTTCCTTTGAGAAAACATGGTAGAAAACAACCAAGGAGTACATGGCCACTGAGAATGAAATATTGAGAATGATGGTAAACGTCCAGCTGAGCCAACTCGGATACAACCCAAGAATCTGTAACGTGATCATCAAGATAGAGCATGCTGGACGGATGATGACAAACTGCCATGTCCAATGCTTGAGAAGTTTCAGTGTCCGGTGATCTAAGAGAGCAGTGCGGGGCTGCAATTGGCAGGAAGAACATTAGATGCATGGTGACAATCCACCATTCTAATACTACTTTATCAATCATTCTAGTGAAATAGAGTAAGAAAGGCATAAGCTCAATTAAACAACTGAAAAAATTAGGAAGACAAACTTCAACTTAATATCTCACATCACCCAGATTATAAGAAAACTTATGTAAGTGTTAGCAAGCCAAGCCTCCAAGTCATCCGAATATGAAAGAACAAGCACTTTCACTCTAAGTTTAGACAATTGTATCTGCACTTAGACTGGAACTGATTAATATAATTTCTTTAGGATATAGAGTCATAATTATTAATTGGTTACATTAGGGTAATAACTCAAATAACTTGGTTGTCTATCTTAGACGACTAGAAGCCCTGTGCTTCAGAACAAAAAGAAATATACTGGGGGATGGACTTTCCCTTGCCCCTAAAATTCTTCAAAATGATATTATTACACAGTAAACACTAAAGGGGGAAAGTCCAATAGTGGCTAGATTTAAACGCAACGGTTACAATAACATACCCAGCGTAATCCCACAAGTGGGGTTTGGGGAGGGGGTAGGATGTACACAAACCTTACCCCTACCTTTGTGGGGTAGGGAGACTAATTTTGATATCAGTTATAAATACATTGAATGCATAATCATCTGGCACATATTGAGAGGAAAGCTTAAAAATAAGTATAATCACACCTGAAATAGAGTCATTGGAAAGGAATGATGAATTTCCCTCCCCTTGATTTCATCAGGCACAATGTTTTTGCTGATGGATATATTCAAATAACAATACATCAAAGCCAAAAATTTGGCAATTGCCTGAAAAAAACATCAAATGAAACATGTTTTGCTTTATTTTTTCTGTCAAACTAGAAAGCATACTAGTAGACAGTGTATGCACCATTAACAAAGGCATGTCAATCACACGGTAGCAACTTACCACAGCCTCGTAGCATTCTTTAACTGAGTCTAGAAACATGAAAAATGTTTTGCTTCCACGAATATCTAACAAACCCACAAACGAGTCAATGGCATAAAGGGGAGCCATACATATAATCATGATTATTGCCTTTTGCTCCTTTGGGTTTTTCCAGAAGAAGAGGTGTTGCGACAAGAGCTGTATCGTGAAATGCATTGAAAGCAAAGCAGAAAATCCTGATCCCACCAGAGTGAGTTGTGCACGGTCCATACTAGCAAAGTCCATATTTTACCAAGCCTTGCAAGAACACAACAAAGAGCTCCTCCTGCAAATCAAATACCAAAGATCTTTATACTGGTGTGCCCCAATTTTTCAACTGCCTGCATTTTTTCAACTAGACCTATTCTCAATGTTGCTAGTTCAAGGCCATGCTAGGAGGAGAACCACACACAAATTTATCAACATACAACTCTTTAGCAGAATATCAAATTTGAGAAAACTTGAGCTTGATATCTATCCACCAATTTGATTAAAATCAAGATTCAAGGGGCATGTTGAATTTTTAGTTAAAGATACAGATTTTACATTTGGGGAATCAAAATAAGATGTTTTCTTGAAAATTCTTGAAAAACAAAAAACAACCCAAACCAATACACAGCAAATTGAATAAATACAAATAATACCCATATCCTTTCAACTTCTAGGGAACCGGAAATTTAACAAGAATTTGATTTTAAATCAAGATTCAAGGGACATGTTGAACTTTTAGTTAAAAATACAGATTTTACAATGGGGGAATCAAAATAAAATGTTTTCTTGAAAAACAAAAAACAACCCAAATCAATACACAGCAAATTGAATAAATACAAAAAAATACCCATATCATTTTGACTTCTAGGGCCCCATAAATTTATAATAGAAGAATCAAGATCCGCATAACCCAAAGGAGAGGGGAAGAAGATGGTAGAGAAGTTATCATCAAGCACACCCAAAACACAAAACAAAGAAGGAATCAAGCAGTAATTAGAGTTATAAACAAACAAATTGAGTGTTTGTGGAAATTCTTGTACTACTTACAGTAAAATAAATCAAGAATGAAGATCAGTGACAACAAATTCGTGCTGAGTATTGTGAATCTACTAGTATATTTGCTTTCTAATTTCTACTTAGTGAGAGCACTTGGCATCAAATATAATTTAACTATGGATTTGGCGTAAACTAATATATATAGTACGTATATTGATTTCAAGAATGGAGTATAAATACGCGTTCAATAGTATATTGATTTCAAGAATGGAGTATAAATACGCGTTTTAACACGCGGAATTTCTGTTGATATTTTTACTTTCTACTTTGATTTTATTTATTAACATGAAATGAATTAAATGGAATTTAAGAATTCATTTGAGAATACATAGATAATCTTTAGGGCATGTTTAGAAAGTCACCCCGATAATAGGATTTGGTGCAATTGGATGTAATTACATTATCTTTCATGTTTGATTGGCTATTTAATTACCTGATTAGCCGGTAGTAATTGATAGGGTAATTACACTCTCCAATTCACAAGGGGAGACTGTGAGTTGTTGGTAATTACACGATGTAATTACAAGCTGATTACTTTTAAATTTCTTCCTTTTATTTCTATTTTTTTGGTTTTAATGTATTTGTATTTTTATTTTTTAAAATTCTTTTTAATTTTATTATTCTAATATTTTCTAAAAATATTTTTTTTTTACTTTATATTATTTATATTTCATTTCCTTCTTATTCTTAGCCTTTACTTCATGTGATTTCATGCAATTTTTCGTATTATCTAAAAAAAATAGTATAATTTTATTAGTATTCTAATTTTTAAATTAAAGTAGAATTCATTGTTGAATAAAGTTATGGACTTGTGTTTTCCTTTTCTTTAAATCATATTTATGTATGTTATGTTGAAATTTGACATAACAGTATTATGTTAAATTTTTTATTTTGAATTTAAAACTTATGTTGTATTTTCAATTTCATTTGTTTTAGGAGTACTCGATATTTTATATTGCAAGCTATTTTATGACATGATATTTATAATATTTTTTTTGTCAAACGTGCATTTCATGTTGTTCATAGAAATTTTGTACTTTTAATTTTCATGACTAATTTAATTAAAATATACTAATTGAAAACTATAAACGAATTATTTTTTATAAATATTATTTATGAACGTATGTTTATTATATATTCAATTTAATATCATTTATAAAGGTCCTTATTTGTCTAATATAAATTTTTAATTTTAAATAATTACTTTTTATTTTTAAAATTCAATATAACCTTATGATTACACTTGTGCAACCAAACAGTACACTTGTAATTACAATGTGGCAAACAAACAGGTCAGCGTAATTACTAAGTTGTGTAATTACTAGGCTGATAATTACTACCCTGATAATTACACCAATTTCAATTATCTGGTGTCTTTCGAAACAGACGCTTAATAAAAAAATATTTACCGTAAGAGTGAAAATGAAACTTAAATACACATATTTATTTACATACATACTTAGTTAATGTATTGTTAAGATGACAATCATAATATGTAAAATTGTGAATATATACACCTTCATCTCTTTACCTATTTGGTCCCCCATTTTGTCTATTCAATCTACCTTACATAAATTAGCATCTTGAATTTTGACATTTTATTTGTTTCATATTTTGTAGGCTAGCTCTTGGAATTTTAATCAGTGCTAGAGACATCACTTGAATACAATCTTGGTAATACATAGCCATCATCACCTCAATGACTCCAACCTTATAGTACAAAATTATGGGGAGAAAACTAAGAAAGATTCACCTTTTTTCAGTAACAACACATACTAAGGACAAAAATCATCCTTACAACAATTATTGGTCCAAAAGTATTATTGGATGTTATAAAGTCACTGCTCTATTCTTGTTTATGTGACCATCTAGCTGAACTATGGAAAGCAAGAAATTGTTGTTGGTAATAATTTTTTTTATACTTTTAGTTTTTGAAAGAGGGGCGTCAACGACAGTTAGTTATGATCACAAGGCATTAGTTATTGATGGAAAGAGGAGAATTTTGCAATCAGGATCAATACATTATCCAAGAACTACACCTGAAGTGAGTGTTTTCTTCTTATATGGCAATGTGGGGTGTTCTCTTTTCTTCTTGATTTTCAGTTTGACAATATGTAACATGGATTATAAAGGGGTTTTCTTGTTGAATGTAGATATGGCCAGAGATCATTAGAAAGGCTAAGGAAGGCGGATTGGACGTGATAGAGAGTTATGTTTTCTGGAATTATCATGAACCTGTCAAAGGAGAGGTATGAAGTCATTTCAATTTTGTGTTTTTACGCGAGTTTGATTGGTCTCCCTTACAATGCTCACTATTTGGCATTTATCTATCAATTTAGCACATAGGAAGTTGTTTTACCTCATTTGGGTCAATGCAATTATTTGTTAAGACATAGAGAGAGCAGTGTCAATTGTAGTTATCACTTCCTACTCTTGCAGTACTACTTTGAAGGCAGGTTTGACATTGTACGGTTTGTGAAGGCAGTACAAGAAGCTGGCCTATACGTGCATCTCCGTATTGGTCCATATGCCTGTGCTGAATGGAACTATGGGTTAGTTCATCACAGCAAACTCATTTTCTTATTTTTATCATGTACATCATAACAGGGTCTTAACTTTTCGTCTTAATATCTCCCTCCTGTTCTCTGAGCAGGGGCTTCCCTATGTGGCTACATTTTATCCCTGGAATACAGTTTCGAACAACAAATGAGCTTTTTAAGGAAAGTGTTGGCCAGTCTGTGTTTCTTTTCTATTTTTTGGTCCTATTAAATGTTCAATAGTTGAAGAAACCTGTATTGTTTGCAAAGCAGAATGAAATGAAACTCTTTCTCGCCAAGATTGTTAATCTTATGAAGGAAGAGAACCTCTTCGCTACACAAGGAGGTCCAATTATACTCGCTCAGGTTGTTTAATCCTTTCTTCTTTTTTGATAGTTCACCATGTAACCTCTTCTTGTTACCGATTTTGTGATGATGGATGTGGTAGTTTAGATCTTCTTCCTGGATTGTACACTCTTATTACTTGATAGTTCACCTTCCTCTTTTTCAATTCTAGTTGTCGCTCTTTTTGTGTTAATCAATGATCTATCATCTTAACAGGTAGAAAATGAGTATGGAAATGTTGAGTGGGCATATGGAGTCAGCGGAGAGCTGTATGTAAAATGGGCTGCAGAAACTGCTGTTAGTCTTAATACGAGTGTTCCTTGGGTGATGTGTGCACAAGAAGATGCACCTGATTCAGTGGTAAGTGTTAATGGTATTCATTTGCAGTATATCAGAAGCATTTTTGTTAGCTATTGGATATTAGTATGTTACAAAATGCAGTCATCTCAAGACCCTTTTGAACTAAACTTCCTGCTGATGATACCATTGATAGTTTTGCTTCTTAAATCAACAGTGAAAGGACACTTAAATTAGTGAATTGATAACTGCAAACATGTTGATATGCAGATAAACACATGTAATGGATTCTATTGTGATCGCTTCACTCCAAATTCCCCATCCAAGCCAAAGATGTGGACAGAAAACTACGTTGGATGGTAAATCTTCTTCCTTTTTATTATCATCAGGAGCTCTGACTCATGACATGTTCTTTTCCTTCATCACTTGCAAGGTGTTGTTTTGTTTTGCAGGTTCCTTGCATTTGGTTATCCTGTTCCTTATCGACCTGTTGAAGACTTAGCTTTTGCTGTTGCACGTTTTTTTGAAACTGGTGGTACATTTCAAAATTATTACATGGTAAATGCATGTTAATATTCACATGTTGTTCTTGATCTTGTTACTTCTGGGAATAGTTATGCCATCTATTTTGTTTAGTATTTTGGTGGCACCAATTTTGGTCGAACAGCCGGAGGTCCTCTAGTAGCAACAAGCTACGACTATGATGCCCCCATAGATGAGTATGGTATGCTATCTTCTTAAATATAAGAGGAAACATTTGATCTATTTAAGCATCTCCTGAAGCTGATGTCTTAAGGTTTTCTAATCTAATCAAACGTACTTAATACAGGTTTCATAAGTCAGCCAAAGTGGGGCCACCTACGCGACTTACACAGGGCGATAAAACACTGTGAAGAGTATTTGGTCAATGCAGATCCAACTCATTTGTCCCTTGGTCTGAAACTTGAGGTAAATGACACATAGTGAGATGTCTTCGATCCAGATTTCAGCTGTTTAATAGATTAGAGGTAGATAACACAAAAATTTGAATCTAAAAACCGTGAAGGAAGTGTACCTGATGCCTAACTCATCCCAAGAAGCTAGGTAAAAGGTGAGGATTGTCTAAGTCTGTATAAGAGAACTTCAGCTCATACCCTTAACCGATATGGGATTCTAACACCTCCTGCAGGCTAGATATCTTAGTTTTCATCATTAGATATCTGAATTAGCTTTTTTGTCAGTCTATGAGTAACTAAATTCTTTAATGTTGGACCAATGTCACTTGTTCTTTTAATTTTGACACATCAGAAATGTCTAACAGGCACATGTATATTACAAAAGCTCCAATGACTGTGCAGCTTTCCTTGCTAACTATGGTAACACTTCAGATGCAAATGTTACATTTAATGGGAAGTCATATTTTCTTCCTGCTTGGTCTGTTAGCATCCTTCCAGACTGTAAGAATGTCATATTCAACACGGCGAAGGTACTGCAGTCCTACTCAACTTTCAGATTTGATCTGTTTGGAGGATCCCCTCTATGATTTTAGATGCTATAATGGCATTGTACGAGCAATGATAGATTTCCATATCTGTTCCACTAGAAATGCATAAAATATCTATTTTTTCTTGTTACATGAAACTATGAAAGAATAACTCCTCCTTAAGAAGCTTTACTGAAGTCTATTTTGCCTCAATTTTGCTACTGCTATCTAACATTTCATTTTGCCTTTACTCATAATGAAAAAAGGTTGTTTCACAAAAAACGACAGGAAGTACAGAATTTACTCATAACACAGTTTCAATTGAAAATTCGCTGGAGTCAGATCCTTGGGGCTGGTACAAAGAAAAAGTTGGTAACGCGAATAATCATTCCTTTGCATCACCCCGTTTACTAGAGCAGATAAATACAACAAAGGATACCAGTGATTTCCTTTGGTATACAACAAGGTAAATTGTTTTTCCTTCACTTGTCATTGTTATGTTACATTTCGTTACGGAAGAAGCTGATCTGAAGATGCTAATATTTGGCTTCCATGAGAAAATAAAGGGCATACCCCACCTCGGTTCACTGGTTTAATCATTTGTTCAATATGATAAGCTAGTTACTTCATTGATGTAATATCTCTAAGTTGCTTTTTCTTTCTCTTGCCAGTATAAATGTGGAGGAGAACATTAAGAAGAGAAAAGCCAGAGAATTGCAGCTAATTATTGGGAGCTTAGGACATGCAGCTCTTGTTTTTGTAAACAAGAAACCAGTTGGTAACTATCTCATCTAATCTCTACTTGTTTAACCGTGTTTAATAACTTAGATAGAAATTCCAACGTGATCGTAATAGCAACATAAAAGTGTACTTTTCTGATAGATTTTAAGTTTTTTGATGAGCAATATATACAACTCAACATGGTATTAGAGCAAATAAAAGTCCAAGTTCAAATCTCAGTACCACCCTTTATAAGAAACTTATCATGTGCTAGGCCCCAATAAAAGCAAAAATTCTGTGTCCCCTATATGATAGTTTAAGCTCTGTATGAGTCAGTTCATACAACTCAACGGATCCAAGAAGAAGACTAACATGCTTCAGTTTTTACCTTCAACATCCCCTTAAGCCCAAGAGAAGTGCTAAGATAGCTGATTTGGTGCCTTCTTTAGGATTTGGCTACGGTAATCACGATGATGCAAGCTTTGTGCTAAGTAAAAAAATCCATCTTAAGAAAGGGAACAACACAGTGGACATATTGAGCATGATGGTTGGTTTGCAGGTAAGTCCATCTCAGTAAATAGCCTTTTCCAATGCTTTGCCTATTGAAGCACATATTATTGAAGTTATTTTCAATCTTGACTGTTATTGCTTCCACTTCAATTACATTAATTCTTACTCATTTTTCATGTGATTCTCCAGAACTATGGACCATGGTTTGACATCTCTGGAGCAGGGGTATTTTCTGTTATCTTCAGTGATTTGAAGAATTCCAAGAATTTTTCTTCTACAGAATGGATCTACCAGGTTGTTGATGTGACAGACAAATCCTTTATTATGTCCATGTCATGCAGTCTGTATTATTCTTGTTTAATTATGATTTCACCTTCCTAACTATAAAATTAAGAGTACAAGTAATTCAAATGCCAAAAAGAAACTCTATGAGTACTTAAACCAAACTAGGTAATATGAAAAGGGACAAAGGAAGTAACAAGTAAGTGAAAATCTAATAAAGATGTGTGACAGTATCTTCTAACAAGAACATTAGAGGACTTTGTGAAAAGGCATAATGAAGCAGCATAACTATTGGTATAAATTTGAAGACTTTCTTTTCTTTTTCCGGATTCTCTTGGGGTTGAGGGGGTGATGCATTTTCGTCTCTGTAATCTCAGAAGGTTATGGCTTTGTTGTTGTAAGATCACAAGGATAACATGAAACTTGTCTTATTTCAGGTAGGACTTGAAGGTGAGTATCTTGGACTTGATAAAGTTAGTCTTGCAAATAGTTCGTTGTGGATTCAGGGGAGTTCTGTCCCAATAAATCAGAGTTTGATATGGTACAAGGTGTGTAGAATTGCTTGGTTCACTTGTTTTATGTCAACTGCTTATCATTTAGGTACCTTTCTTTCGACAACAAAAGAAAGAAATACCTTTCTAGGAATAGAGTGGCAGTTAATGTCAATGCTGGTGCTATGATAATTTGTTGCGTCTGTTGTATTCTTGTCTTGATTCTGGATATCATGTTTCCAGACTAGCTTTTCTCCTCCAGAAGGAAGAGGTCCTGTATCGCTAAATCTGTCCAGTATGGGTAAAGGTCAGGCATGGGTAAATGGGCAGCATGTAGGGAGATACTGGTCTTCTTATCGTTCACCCTCAACAGGCTGTTCTGATAATTGTGACTACAGAGGAGCTTATGATTCATGGAAATGTTTGAAGAAATGTGGTCAACCTGCTCAAGTGTTGTGAGTAGATAGCTTTGGCTAGTGTATTTTATTCTGATGCCTTGCATTGTCATGATTCTCCTTGCAAATTGATTTCACTGAGTACTAACCATTAAGCCTTCATATAGGTACCATGTACCGCGCAGTTGGTTAAAGCCTGGAAAGAACCTGCTTGTGCTACATGAAGAGCTTGGTGGTGACCCTTCAAAGATATCTTTCTCAACGCGATCTGGGCAAAAAATTTGTGCTCATGTATCTGAGTCAGATCCTCCACCTGTTGATACTTGGAAGCCAAACAAAGATCTTACGTCTCAAGAACCTTCATTGCAACTGAATTGTGATCAAGGATGGACTATCGCTGCAGTTAACTTTGCTAGCTTTGGAACTCCTACAGGAGATTGTGGAGCATTCATTAAAGGGAGTTGCCATTTGGATGTGTTATCCATAGTTCATCAGGTAATATTACTAGCATTTCTTCATTTGTTTCTACATATATTGGTGATAACTTCTGAAAATCCCCATATACTACTCAAAGTGTTGTTCATCAAGGCTTGAACTATCAAAGAATTATCAGATCCCACATTGGTTGAGGGGATGGATTTTGATCTCCTTATTTTGCCTTGGACAATCCTCATCTCATGAGGTAGCTTTTGGGATTGAGCTAAACTTACTGTTCAATTTTCTTCGCATGGTATCACAGCCAGACGTATCGATTCTTGTATCACAGCCAGACCTATCGATTCTTGTTTCCTTCACGAGCTAGCTTTTGGGTTTGAGTTAAACCAAAGTCCATTTTCTCATATGTTTGATCTGACAATTTTGAATGACTATGCAGGGGTGTGTTGGCAACTCAGGATGTTCCATTCCTATCACCATGGCTAAACTTGGTGACCCATGTCCTGCAGTACCAAAAAGTCTGGCTGTTGAAGCTTTTTGCAGTGTTTGAATCATCAAATTCTATGGTCCTGGTAGGAGGTGTAATCATTGGCTTAGCGCGGTAACCTTCTTTGTCAAATTTTTCTGCTTCTAGCAATCAAATGTACTCGTTTTTATTTTAACCAGAGCCAGTTTGAGTGTGCAATTTGTAAGTTGTAATCTATGGTACTTCGGTACAGCCCTAGTCTTGATGATCCAAAAGAGTATTATAAATCAACCTTTGCTCTTTTTTCAGCTCTGTGTTCATGGCTTTTGTTCTATTACTGGAATGACATGCAAATTCATTCTCCAGTCTGTATTTTGTACTTAAGTTGGCAGTCGAGAGGAAACTGGAAACTACAACTAAACGGGTACGGTAAAGATGGACTCAAACACATGCAAGGGTGACCAAGTTGGTTGAGAAGGGGATCTCCCAAATGGAGGGGGGGGGGGGGTCCTCAAGTTCAAAACCCTGCATGCTTTCTCAATCGAGCTCATCGCACGAAGCTTGTCTAGTGCAGTTTACCTCTCTCTCGTGTGGTTTGCAAGCTATTATACTGGAGTGGATTTACCCTGTGTACACCTGAAGGATAGCAACTGCGGGTTCCCTAATCATCATAAAAATAAAAGATATGGACTCAAACTAAATGTTGTAGTAGGGACTCTCCTTTGAGATCTCCAGATTAAGCACACAGCCATAAACTTAGGAACCAGTAAAAAAAACACATCTATTTCATGCAATGGAAAATGGGAAATCATACAAAGGTTTTGTTTTATTGGACTTTTGCAAGCAAAAGTATAATACAAGCAAGAACAAGGAAATCTCTCTTTTACAACATTTAAACAGCAAGCAGAATCTTTCCAATGTTCTTGCCGCTTTCCATTAACTGGTGAGCCTCAGCAGCTTCTGCTAAGGGGAAGTACTTGTACACCACCGGTTTCATCTTCCCTGCTGCAATTGCAGGCCAGACATTTTTTTCCACTTCTCTCACAATTTGAGCTTTGTTTTTTGCACTTCTACCACGCATGCCAGCAGCTGTAGAAAAGTCACAAATCGACATAAAATCTACTGAAGCACAATTCAAAATGAGGTCCATGTCATTCATTCAGAGAAATAATCCATGAGACTAGCTTTCAATATTCCAAAAGAATTTATTTTTTCTCCAATTGTCTATGCACTTAATTATGAAAAGAGAACTCCCCCAAAGATATCTTCAACTAAGAGAAGGATCAGTTAGAACATGAAGGGAATGAAAACGTTGGATAGGATTATGCGAGAATGAGAGAGCTGGACTAATAATTTCCATATTTCAAAATTCAAACAGACCATAACAAGAAAAGTTCTTAAACTCCAAATATATCAGAGCACGTCTGTACTTACCCTGCACTGTCAAGCGCCTTGCTAACAAACAGCCAAGATTTACTTGTGTCACTGTTCCTCCCATAAAACCAATAATGAAGAGCCTACCATCAACATTGAGGCTGTCAAGGTTTTGTTGGAAGTATGGACCTCCTATATTATCTAGTATGACATCAACACCTGCGTTGAACATTGAAATTAGAATATAATCAATGTAAGACATGAGAAGAAATTGAGTGGTTGCCCCTAGCTCCATGAGATATATGATAACCATTGTAATTTTCTACAGAAAAATGCATATTCGAATTTTAGTTGATAACACAAGACCTAATTCCCAACTTGTTTTGAACTGAGGCGTAGTTGTTGTTTGTTTATCAAAAAAACCTAAATTCTAATATAACATATGTTGCTTATGAGAATGATAACCTTTCCCTCCTGTTTCTTCCTTGATGCGTGTAACAAAGTCTTCAGTCTTGTAATTGATGCAAACATCAGCCCCAAGTTCTTTGCATGCAGCAAGTTTTTCCTCACTTCCTGGTTAACAAGATTTGACACGGTTAGCTAAATGATTTCAGTTTCATAATGAGATAAGATATCATCATGAACCTGCTGTGATGAAAACTTTGGCCCCAATGCACTTAGCCATTTGAATGGCAAAGGTACCAATTCCACTAGAGCCTCCATGAATCTGAAAGTAACACATGTAGTTATAAGTCATTTCACGTACTTGATCTTAGTCCACGGGGATCAGGAATATAAAGATTCAATTGTGAACATACTACCCAAAACGATTCTGCCAATTGACTAAATGACTGATAGTCTGCATATATAAAAGAAAAAGGAACTACTGCTAAACAACAAATTGTATGGTCTATTTAATCACCAGAAACATTTCACCGGAGGAAAGCTTGCTCGTCATGAAAATGGTTGACCAAACAGTGCATGCCACTTCAGGGAAGCTAGCTGCATCTTGTAAAGAAACACCTGATGGAATAGGAAGAACTTGTTCAGTAGGTACAGCTACTTTCTCTGCATAACCTCCTCCACCAATGAGAGCACATACCTATATTGTGAAGCTTTTACATCATCAATGCACTAAACAAAACTCCCTTTCAAACAATACATAGAAATGTACTCTCCAAATCCACACAGAAAAAGAACATAAGCTCATAAAAACATCACTGTAATATCCCCTTCTTCATCTATGCATTATTATATTTAATTTCATGACATCATAATCGCATAACAAAATATATAACTATGAATATATGAAACCTGATCACCAATTTTCCAGCGAGTAACGTCCTTGCCGACGGCTTCAACAGTTCCAGAACATTCAAGACCTGGATATTCACTTTCTCCTTTATGGGGTGGATGTTCACCTTGGCGTTGAAGGGTGTCAGCCCTATTAATGGCAGTAGCTGCAATTTTGATCAAGATTTCATCATCTTTGATTTGTGGGTCTTCCACTTCTTGAAGCTTCAACACCTCTGGACCACCAGGCCTTGTGATTACTACAGCTTTCATCCTTCGTTAATCACAATCAATTTTATCACTTAGTTAACAAGGTTTTAGGAAGAGTTTGGAGAGATTTACTAGACTTTATTGCATACATAAAGGAGTAGTAGAGTACCACATGTAGTGTAGCAGATGGGCTGCTACTCCACTCTTGAGTTCGAGCCTGGATATGAAAAAATCTTTTTTAGGGAGTGTTTTCTTTCTAATATGGCCCTATACAATGCAAATTCAAAATAGTTAAACTAGCCGCCGAACTAGAAAATTCAAAATAGTTGGACTAGCCGCCGAACTAGGAAAAAAAAAAGTAACAGAGGAGGAGTATTTTGTTTCTATTATTGTTCTTGATAGCTATATGTTCTGTCTAGTTACAACATCACCTCGATCTATAGTTTCTTTTAATAATAACAACAAAAAAAATAAAGTTAAAGATAAGAGTAATGATTTACATTATAAAAAATTAATGCACAATTAAAGTTATGTCAAGTGGATATTATTGAGAAAAAAACATGAAAATATTGTAGGGATAAAGATTGGTAGTTCAAATTTGTTTTAAAAAATACTATCAATTTCAAACATATACATCTGAAACTTTAGGTATGATCATCAAAAATTTGAACTTGACAAGTAAAAATTTCAGGTAAATATCTCAAAACTTGCTACCAAACATGATATACAAATTGTATGACTTGCAGAATATTATAAGGAAACCTTTGCTCTTTTTTCCAGCTGTGTTCATGGTTTTTGTTCTATTATTAGAATGACATGCAAATTCTGTATTTTGTACTTAAGTTGGAAATAGACAGCAAATCTATTTTACGCAGACAAAAAAATGAAAAAAAATCATAAAAAGGTTTTGTTTTATTGGAACATTGCAAAGTATAATACATGCAGCAGAGGTTGGGTGGGGGGGGGGCGGTGACTGGCTGGAAGTACAGGCTATTTTAACACTAAGAACAAGAAAATCTCTCTTTTACAACATTTAAACAGTAAGCAGAATCTTTCCAATGTGCTTGCTGCTTTCCATTAACTGGTGAGCCTCAGCAGCTTCAGCTAAAGGGAAGTACTTGTACACCACCGGTTTCACCTTGCCAGCTGCAATTGCTGGCCAAACATTCTTTTCCACTTCTCTCACAATTTGAGCTTTGTTTTTTGCGCTTCTACTACGCAAGCCAGCAGCTGTAGAAAAGTCACAAGTTGACATAAAAACTACTGAAACACAATAAAAAATGAGGTCCATGGCATTCAATCAGAGAAAAAATCCATGAGACTAGATTTCAACATTCCAAAAAGAATTTTTTCTCTCCAATTGTCTATGCACTTTATTATAAAAAGAGAACTCCCTCAAAGATATCAAGGATTCTTCAACTAAGAGAAGGATCAGTTAGAACCTGGAGGGAATAGACACATTGGATAGGATTATGCGAGAATGAGAGAGCTGGACTAATAATTTCAAAATTTCAAAATTCAAACTAACCATAACAAGTACCCGGGAGGAAGAGGCCAAAATTTGACCAAGTTGACGAAGAATTACTAAATGAGGATTTCAAAGAAGAGACAGCTCAACTTCACATGAAAGATGAATCACCTTCTCTCTTTTTTTTTCTTGATAACGTAAATATATGAAAAATGAATCAGAATATTTCAGTTCTCCTGATATTAAATTGAGACCTATACCATCTAATAAAACCCAGTAATATCAGTGGAAGCTTGTGTTGCTTTTGCTTCTATTACACTATCTTATCTTTCCCATCCTGAAATAAATTGAAGTAGGTCAGTGCACATAGAAGTCACCAGATTATTATAAACCATGGTTGGTGGTTGAAAGCCAGGACTGTTTATGAGATAACTGAGGCTGATTACTGCAAGGAACTAAAGCTACGGGAGGAACAGTAGTAGAAGTGAAGTGAGGGAAAGTAAATAGGACAAAAGTAAAGGAGCATGATAGGATATGTGAGAGAGCCTTATAAAAATGGAAGAAAGATACAAACACATGGTTTCCACGTGTCACAAAAGTTAGCTTCTCACTCTGTCAAAATAAGGGATATCAACGAGGCAAATGAACACCGAGACTTCAAGACAGTTCATTTGCGAAGTGGAGAACACTAGGCTCTGGATATACACACACACAAGAGGAAGAGAGAGAAACTTGCTTTACATAAGCTTCATTGAAGTAGAAGCAATTGCATGTAACGAAAAAGGTGCAGCAGAAAGAGAAGTTAGAGAAAATTAAGATCAGGGTAAATTAAGATTACTTCATTTCTTGTGCACCAATTATTAGAATTGCAGCTGCAATTGATAATCATTGCTTCCCCATGGAATTAACCAACTGAATCTACAGTCTAAGCCCAACTGAACACAAGATCTTAGAAGTCATCTATTGGCATGTGCAACTATATGAATACAATCTCCGCCCCACTCATTGAGCTAGTCAGGGTGGGGTGGGAATAGAAAGAAACTGGAATTACAGTAGAGTGTCTTGAGATATCTCTCTTCCAGTTGACTAACAGCATGCTTGTTCAAGTATTTGGTCAGACAAGTTCACCATATCAAATTTAACAATACATTTCACAGAAAAGATCACTCCAAATATATCAGAGCACATCTGCACTTACCCTGCACTGTCAGGCGTCTTGCTAACAAACAGCCAAGATTTACTTGTGTCACTGTTCCTCCCATAAAACCAATAATGAAGAGCCTACCATCAACATTGAGGCTGTCAAGGTTTCGTTGGAAGTATGAACCTCCTATATTATCTAGTATGACATCAACACCTGTGTTGAACATTGAAATTAGAATATCACCAATGTCAGACATGAGAAGAAATTGAGTGGTTTCCCCCATAGCCCCATGAGATATATGATAACCATCATAATTTTCTACAGAAACATGCATATTCAAATTTTAATTGATATCACAAAGACCAAGTTCCCAACTTGTTTGGAACTGAGGCGTAGTTGTTGTTTGTTTATCAAGCAGACCTAGTTTCTAATATAATAAATGATGCCTATGATAATGATTACCTTTCCCTCCTGTTTCTTCCTTGATGCGTGTAACAAAGTCTTCAGTCTTGTAATTGATGCAAACATCAGCCCCGAGTTCTTTGCATGCGGCAAGTTTTTCTTCGCTTCCTGGTTAACAAGACTTGACATGGTTAGCTGAATGATTTCAGTTCCATAATAAGATAAGATATCATCATGAACCTGCTGTGATGAAAACTTTGACCCCAATGCACTTAGCCATTTGAATGGCAAAGGTACCAATTCCACTAGAGCCTCCATGTATCTGAATGTAACACATGTAGCTATCAGTCATTTCACGTACTTGATCTTACTCCACCAGAATCAAGGACATAAAGATTCAATTGTGAACATACTACCCAAAAGATTCTGCCAATTGACTAAATGGCTGATAATCTGCATAGATAAAAGAAAAAGGAACTACTGCTAACAACAAATTGTTTTAAAGAATAACTATGGTCTGTCTAATCACCAGAAACGTTTCACCCGAGGAAAGCTTGCTCGTCATGAAAATGGTCGACCAAACAGTGCATGCCACTTCAGGAAAGCTAGCTGCATCTTGTAAAGAAACACCTGATGGAATAGGAAGAACTTGTCCAGTAGGTACAGCTACTTTCTCTGCATAACCTCCTCCACCAATGAGAGCACATACCTATTATGTGAAGCTTTTACATCATCAATGCACTAAACAAAACTCCCTTTTAAACAATACATAGAAATGTACTGTCCAAACCAACAAAGAAAAAGAACATAAGCTCATAAAACATCACTGCAATGTCTCCTGCTAAGGCCTAACAAGAACTTAATATTGTTCTAGTTTCACTTCAGGAAGCTAATGGATTAACTGCTACCCTACTAACCAGGGCTAGTCCAGAATCATTCAGGTTACTACTCAAGGAAATTCTTTCATCTTGAAACAAGAAGCCTTTTGTCCCTGATGGGCGGAGGTCATTTTGCCCCTTAATCTTTACTTATCAAGATATAGACATTATTCCCCCCTCCTCGTACTTAATTATCACCACTTCCACCACTATTAAATTCTTTTCTTTTTTTTGATGACAAGGGAAACCCACAGCCGCTACCCTTTGGGTGTGCATAGAGTAAAACCCCCGCTCCTATGTAATAGCTCGCAAACCACATATGAGAGGTAACCCGCACTAGGCAAACCTGGTGCGACGAGCTCGACCCAGAAGGCAAACTCTTTGCTTTCGCTGGCAAGGGATTTCGAACTTGAGACCTCCAACATGGAAGTTCCAAGCTCAAACCACTGGGCCACCCCGAAGGGTTCCACCACTATTAAATTCTACCAAATTTATGTCAAACGAAGCACCACAAAATGAAATGGAAATATTTTACTCCATACACAACAATAACAATAACTAGTTAACTACCCCAAAAATTCAAACTAGGTGGAGTCAAGCTATATGAATCCTTTATCCATTCTTCTCTATTGGGGCTCATTTTACTCCAATACTCATTAATGGTTCTCTAATTCCTACCTATTCCTAGTCTGACATAGAAAACTCTAACAAAAATACTCCATCCATTTCAATTTGTTTGTCTTACTTGCCTTTTTTAGTTTGTTTCAAAAAGATTGTCTTTTCCCTTTTTGGCAACTCTTACTTTTAACTTTTTATAAGGCTTGTTTAACATCTCAGGATTAAAAGACATTTTGGTACATTCTACCTATTTTAGTTTAAAACCACAAAAAAAAATTGATGACAAGGAAACCCGCAGCCGCTACCCTTTGGGTGCAAGGTAAAACTCCCGCTCCTATGCAATAGCTCGCAAACCACATATGAGAGGTAACCCGCACTAGGCAAAAAAATGTCTTTACTTTCTTAAACTTAGTGTCAAGTCAAAACCACACAAAAAAAATTTGAAATGGAGCTAGTAAGATTCGAAAGATTAGGCATTTTCAGATATCTTATTCCTTTGTGCTGTGTTCTTAGCCAAGTCCCCATAGATTCCAAAGATTTAGGCATTTTCAGATAACTTCCTCCATGTCATATTACCCAACATCAAAAGGAAATATAACAATTCTACAATAACAAACAACAGTTAAGCTTCAATTTCAAGAATAAAGTTGTCATCTTTTTTTAAAATGGAAACTGTAATCAGACAAACCTGGTCACCAATTTTCCAGCGAGTAACGTCCTTGCCGACTGCTTCAACAGTTCCAGAACATTCAAGACCTGGGTATTCACTGTCTCCTTTAGGGGGTGGGTATTTACCTTGGCGTTGAAGGGTGTCAGCTCTATTAAGGGCAGTAGCTGCTATTTTAATCAAGATTTCATCATCTTTAATTTGTGGGTCTTCCACTTCTTGAATCTTCAACACTTCTGGACCACCAGGACTTGTGATTACTACAGCCTTCATACTTAATCACAATCAATTTTATCACTGAGTTAACAAGGTTTTGGGAAGGGTTGGAGAGGTTTACACAACTTTCTTGTATATTCTTGTTCTTGAAAGCTCTATATTTTGTCTAGTTGCATCACTCATATAGTTCTTAATAATTAAATTCTACCCATATGTTTTGTCTAGTTGCAACATCACCCATATAGTTCTTAATAATTAAATTCTACCCACATGTTTTGTCTAGTTGCAACATCACCCATATAGTTTTCAATAATTAAATTCTACCCATATGTTTTGTCTAGTTGCAACATCACCCATATAGTTTTCAATAATTAAAGTCTACCCATATGTTTTGTCTAGTTGCAACATCACCCATATAGTTTTCAATAATTAAATTCTACCCATATGTTTTGTCTAGTTGCAACATCACCCATATGGTTTTTAATAATTAAATTCTACCCATATGTTTTGTCTAGTTGCAACATCACCCATATGGTTGGGGACAAGTAATTATATTGGGATTAGTTATTTTAGTATTGTTATTCCACCCTCGATGCTGGGATAAAATTAATGGTACAATCCTAATATAACTCTTGATTTTATTTCAACCAAACATGGGATAAACTCATCCTAAATTTTATTTTGAGATAATTTATTCGTTATCATTCGTATCAGATGAGCCCTTAGGTCGTAAAGGGAAATATAATTTTTTTTTGGTTTCCCACTCGATGTTCAGAGCCCACATTGGAGCTCCGACTAAATTCGAATCGCGCTTTGCAGGGCCCATTCGAGGGTGGCACTCCCAACAGGATTTTCTCCATACCCAGGACTCAAACCCGAGACTTATGATTAAAGGTGAAAACACTCCCACCAGTGCACCACAACCCATATTGGTATAGGGAAATATAATTGAGTATGTGAACTTTCATTTTTGTTGGCTAAATATGGATTCCCCCTCTTGTTATTCCTTTTCCTATTTCTCCTTTATCTACCCCCAATTCAAACTAAAATTTCAAAAATAAATTACATTGTAAAAAAATAAAATATAAAATAGTAGCGATTAACATAAAATAATGTAGAAATTTCATTGTGATAATTTTTATATTTATCTCAAATTAGTGATAAAATTTCTGATTTATCATTAGAAACTCGTGATAATATTGCAAGAAAAAAGTTTGGTAATTTAAGTTTTAGAAAAATTACTTTCAATTCAAATGTATACGTTTAAAACTTCATACACTATCGTCAAAAAATTGAGTTTGACATGTCAAGCTTCAAGCAAAAATGTCATAAGTTTGCTACAAAAATCATATACAATAATTTTATATAAATAATCTTTACATTATAATAACAACCTCCCCCCCCCCCACCCCCACCCCCAAACAAGAGAAGTCATATAAAGGATGCATACCAAACACCAAGTAATATTTTCCATGCAAGGCATTTTGGTTTGGCCATTTAACACTATTGGATGGCAGCAAGAAGAGGAAAAAATAAGTCTTCTATAACCAAAGTTTGTTCATTCTCCATTTGTGTGCAAATTGCACCTAGAGAAGAAGATAACATGTATCCAAAAGTCCCCAAGTCAAATATTATACTTTACTATATAAGAAGCATTAGATGAGGGATAATTTCCTACATCACTCACTACTTCTTTCATCATCCAAAAATATCAAAATAATGAATCCATTTGGCTTTCAATTTGCAGTTATCCTTCTGTTATTGCTTAATACTATTATGGTAATAGAAACACAAGCAGCATATGTTAAACCTCAACGCGTCACGTGCTATAAACGTTACAGCAAATGCTATCTCAAGTATATAACTTGCCCTTCTGAGTGCCCTGAAATTCACCCGAAAGATCCATATGCTAAAGAGTGTTTTCTTGATTGTTACTCTCCTAAATGTGAAGCAGTATGCAGAAGTAAGTATTTTAGACTCATTTTAGCTTAGCTATATATTTTTGATCCTTTTTATCTGAAGTAACATTATGTTAATGAATTTTTGTACATATGTTACAGAACGAAAACCAAATTGTGATGGTCCAGGTGCAGCTTGTTACGATCCTCGTTTCATAGGTGGAGATGGGATTGTTTTCTACTTCCATGGTAAAAAAGATGAGCATTTCAGCCTAATTTCAGATGTCAACGTTCAAATAAATGCTCGTTTCATTGGTATCCGTCCTGCTGGCAGATCGCGAGATTTCACATGGATTCAAGCTATAGGCCTCATGTTTGGCTCACATAACTTCACACTTGAAGCAACCAAGGCAGAAAATTGGGATCAAGAAGCTGATCATTTGAAATTCACTTATAACGGGATGAGTTTAAGTGTTCCATTAGGCCACTCATCGGTATGGAATTCCCCTGACCAAAACCTTGAACTGGAAAGGACCTCAGCAACAAACAGTATAAGAGTTACAATTCAAGAAATAGTGGAAATCTCAGCTAATGTTGTTCCTGTGACAGAAGAAGAGGACGCGATACATAGTTATGGTATACCTAAAAATGATAGCTTTGCTCACTTAGAAGTGCAGTTTAGGTTGTTTGATTTGTCTCCAAAAGTTGAAGGCATTCTTGGCAGGACTTACCAGCCAAGTTTCAAGAATCCAGCCAAGTCAGGGGTCGATATGGCGGTTGTTGGTGGTGATGACAAGTACAAGACTAGTTCACTTCTATCAGCTGACTGCAACTCTTGTACTGTTTTCACTTCTGGAAAAAATGTTGCTGAGAGAAAATAATAAGTTCAATTCCATATAGTAGCAGCTTGTATTAGCATATATTGTTTGTTCTCATAAATCTCTCTTGTTTATCTATGTTGAAATCTAGTTTGCTTTGGTTTGAATAATGACAACATTTGACTCTTGATAACTATAAAGGAGCATTCTAAAACTTATTAGAGATTAGTAGAATAATTGATCTATAGACACTGATTACTTGTTTTTCCAATTGAGGATTTTTATTCAATTTCAAATGATTTGAGGTAACTCAATTAAACTATATAACATGTGAGACTATCCTTCAGGATGACTCAATTGGTTTGAAGGGTGGTTATCCACACGGAGGTGACCCTAAATCGATTCCCCTCAATGCCTTTTGAGTCAAGTCTCTCGCATAGGATTTACCTAATGCGGTTTAGTTCCCTTTGCAAGCTATTACACAATGGGGTTTACCCAGAGTACAACAAAGTATGTTAATAAAATACTAATAATGGATTATAAGGAGAGTACAAAATTGTTTAATACGTCTCTTTAAACAATTATATAAACATGACACGAATCATATATCACATGGTATTCTTTTTCCTTAATTTCAGGTTAGTGTACCTAATTGCCAAGTACTAATAAAGGATTGGGTTAAATTTCTTTTATTTTCACCAAACCCAAACTGACATGTGTAGTATAATATTGAAATTGATTACCAAATACACATTATCTTACTATTAAAATAATAGAAGTTTGAAATTACCGCGTTTCTTAATTCAACAACTTTTGATTCTTATTACTCTTCAGTTCAGTACCGTTTCTAGGGTTTATTCCACCTCAAAAAATCTTGTCATTCTTGAATCTTGAACCACCAAAAGAACCCCTAGCAACTGGTACAATTTATTTTTCTTAAAATATGTTGTTTCTTTTTGTATTGTATGTGCACCTTTAAACTGCACAGAATCATTTTCTTGATTTTTTTTTTACAGGTTGTGTAATTTGATTGGAAAAGATGGGTGGATTTGAGCTCAAATGGTTTGTAAGAGTAGCTGTTGTTCTGATGATGGTTCAAAAAATTCTTGGTTGGGGGAAAGAAGGACACTATGCTATCTGCAAAATTGCTGAGGTAAATGAAGTATTTTTAATTTTTTTTGAATTTTCTGAGTAAATTCTAGTGGAGATTGAGTGTTTGGAGTAATGGGGTGTTTAATGTTGATCTTTTTTTATGGGTTTATTCATAAAGGTTGGATCTTTATGTAGTTGCTTGCAAGAACTTGCGTTGACTAGTTATTCTGATTTCCTATTTGGCCTTGGCTGAAGTCTTTTGAGGGGTTTTATGGATGTGCACCCATTGTGGCAGAATTGTATCGTATAGTTGTTCCATAACCAACCCGAAATGGAATGAGCAAGTGCTCAGTAACCAAACCAAAGATGCAAGGAAATATAGAAAAGAAAATAGCAAAATAGAGAAAAAAAAAGGCAGACTTTCCTTCATTCGTTAATGCTCTAAAGTTGTGGCTACAACTGAATATAAAGAGTGTAGTAGTAATCTGGAACAGCAGGACATTGTAGAAAATACCATCTTACACTGTTGTTGATGGAAACACAGACATACTACTTGGAAGCTCATGGTACTATCCGTTACATAGTAGGTAACTTGATCTGGCAATTATATAGTTACATCGAATCATAATGTTTTTAAAATAGATAGTCTTCGTGTGCTTCAAATGATGAAGGCATAATACATAGATAGATAGGCATTCAAATATGGCGTCAAATGGCAAGTTAACACTTCAGCTTTAGTGGCGTACATCTAGACACCTCAACTCGTCCCTACTGAGTCTCGTGGACACCCAATGCTAACGTGGCACATAAATTTTGAAGGTGTCTAGATGATCATTTTGTAAGGTGGAGTGTTCAACTGACACAGTGGAACGAGCTGAGGTATCTAGATGTGCATCCTCAAAGTTGGAGTGTTTAGTTGTTAGTTGACAATTGGAGTGTTTAGTTGTTAGTTGAAGACAAGTTAAGGTGTCTATCTATGTATTAGTACTGGAGGAAGATTCTTGAAATCCTTTTGAGACATTCCCAGAAACTTCTTATGGTGGACATATTTTGTGATTCTGACAGATTTTTCTTTGAGTGGAAGCAAGCATATGGAAAGTACTGACAAAATAAAAATAAAAAATTTGTCGAGCTCTTCCTTAGGAAGCTTATGTGAATCTCTTGGGTCTTTCAGGAATATCTAACAGAAGATGCTTTGGCTGCAGTCAAAGCATTACTCCCAGATCAAGCCGAAGGTGATCTTGCAGCTGTCTGCTCCTGGCCTGATGAGGTTCGGCGCCACTACCACTACCGCTGGAGTTCTCCATTACATTATGTAGATACACCTGATTTCTTGTGCAATTACAAATATTGCCGTAAGTGACACTACATATAATTGCTTCTATAGAAAAACTTCTTGGTTCATGTTAGCTATTCATTTTGGTATCAAGTTTACTCCCTACGTATCAAATGAAAAGAGAAGTACGGTAAAAGATTTCTAGCTCATGCCTGCATTTCCTATTGTTACTTGGTGCACTGTAGGCAAAGTAGCAGCACGCACTTGATCCAGTAGTTAATAGTTGACATTTTTTCTGTTATAATGATAAACCCTGATATGGCATATTAAGATACATCTTTTAATGCACTTTTGTATCTTAGCTTTGAGCCATTAATAACCTTGGTCTACTTTCTGATAGGAGACTGCCATGACGGGCATGGGCTCAAGGACAGGTGTGTTACGGGAGCAATATACAACTACTCAATGCAACTTTCACAGGGATATTATGATTTAAATTCAGAAAAATGTGAGGAAGACTGCCCCTCTGTGTTATTGATGCATTTATTGGGCTGGAACTAATTATTTCTAGTGACAGACAACTTGACTGAAGCACTTATGTTCTTGTCTCATTTTGTTGGTGACGTACATCAGGTCAGCTCACCTTTCCTGGAACCTTGGTGTATGTAACTGTAAATAAACACAACTGTATGTGTCTGTATATAAATGTTTGTAACTACTTTGATAAGTTTCTTTTAGTCCTAAATACTTAATTAAAGAATAAGTTTCTTTTAGTCCTAAATACTTAATTAAAGAATAAGTTTCTTTTAGTCCTAAATACTTAATTAAAGAATAAGTTTCTTTTAGTATTAAATAATAACGTCCATACTGCTATGCCTCTGGTGTAGAAATAAAAAAAGGGCAGCGTGCATGAAGCATCCTGCATTTGGGAAAGGGTCGCACCCTAAGGGGGTCTAATGTAGGCAGCCTACCTTGACTCATATATGATGTGAGAGTTATCCATGGGACATGGAATTGAACCATTAGAAATGCCATCATTTCTGAGTAATACGCTTCCTTTTCCTGATCTAATCTGATTAAGTGGGTGGTTGTACCATGCTCCAAATATATGCCCTCTCCTTTTTGGAGGCCCACTCACTTCAATTTTATTTTGGTTATGGAAATCCAGAATTAAATATTGTGGTATTTCCTCCTGCGAGGACTATGTTATTATATGCTGATATTCTTTTCAGGGGAACTCTTCTGCCTCTGTAGTTTTGGTCCTCTCTTACGAAAGGAGCTCCTTTATTACCTGCATTGTGCTTGGCTGGACATGAACTACGAAGGTCCAGTCTAGTTTAATAAATTAAGTTCTAACATCATTCAATGACACCTGACCCTTGTACTCAAGGGACCAACTACTTTTTAGAACCTCCACAAACAGTTGTTTTAGACCTTGTTTCAATCATCTACTGGTCTTGTAAAAGTTGCATGTCTGGGGAAGCATGTGACTGATAAGCCTGATTTTTGAAGAAAAAAATTTCAAGCCCTGTAGGTCACACAGCAAGTTTATCTTTTTGTGTGTGTGTGTTTGCGTGTCTCACCAATTATCTTTTATTTAACCAGTTGTATATTTTTATTCTGTCGTGTGATTGTCTGAAATATGATCACAAGACAGGATAAATGATTATAAAAATATGATCATGAGACAGACTTCATCAAATCCAAAGCGTGTACAGCATATATTTGATGTTTCTTTACTATCTAAATTTGAGTGTTGATCAGGAAAAGAAAATGGAAGTCCTGGAAGGTAAATTCAGTTTTATCTTATTTTGTTTTCTGTGTGCAGCCTCTTCATGTTGGTTTCACTGGAGATCTTGGTGGAAACAGTATAATAGTTCGTTGGTACAGGAGGAAGACTAATTTGCACCATGTAGGTTGTGCGTTTCTTTTTGAGTCCAATTTATTCTGATCTCATTCTTTTGGATCACTAAACAAAATTAAGTGTAACATCTTCGAGCAGACTTATTCACTTCATGTTACCATTAATTATACAAAGTGTCTATAATTTATAGTCCTTTTCATTTGAAATATATTTAGATAATACCCTCTTTAACTCTCAAATTACGTATTCACTTTTCTCTACTTTGAAAACAAAAGGCAAGTTCTGAGCATGTTTACCTCTTATCTTTTACCTGTCAAACAATACTTGAGAAGTAGTAGATACATCTTAAACTGTATGCGTACAAGAGAAGGGGTGTATTTTGAAACATTAATTTATTTAATGTGAGCCATCCATAAATCAGATATCTATTAGAAACAGCCACTGTAACTTCTTGACTTAAACTTTTCCAGGTATGGGATACCATGATTATTGAATCTGCGTTAAAGACATACTACAAATCTGATATAATGTTAATGACACAAGCTCTTCTGAAAAACATCACTGTAAGTTTTAGTTGATTTCTTCGTACACAGTATTACATATCTATTTGTTAGAGATATGAACTTTACAATTCTTCAAGTGATGTTGGGAATTGTTAAATGATGCATGCATATTGTGGGAGGATTTCATCATCCCAGTGCCACAGTCCTCATTGGAAAGAATCTCACTCTCTTTTGTTCTCTTAAAGAAAATATTACTATGCTCTTAGCATAAACAGTCTCTGAAATCGTAGTCAAAATCCGCCTCACATGGATTCAACTTTCCGATCCAGCAAGATGTAACAAATTGTTTTTCCTAGCTTATGCAGAAAATCTTTCTTCAATAATATCATTGCAAGTTTTCTGCAAGTTTTTTTTTTTTTTGTTTCGGATGTATAGATAGCACTAACTCCTGAATTTGTTAAGCTTAAAACCTTTCAGTTTGAGTATGTGTATTTCACTAGCTTCTCAAGACGCGGAGAAAACAATCGTGTGCATCCTGTCATTTCTTCTATTCTCTGTATTCCCATAATCACTTGTAACTAATGTACTTGTATCTGGATATAGGATGAATGGTCCGATGATGTTCCATCTTGGGAAAGTTGCAAGGAGATGGTTTGTCCTGACCCGTAAGTGTAGATATTCATACGTTACATGTATATAAAAACAATGCACTATTTTGAGGAACTCGTTTTTACAGATATGCTTCTGAAAGTATCCGTTTGGCCTGCAAGTTTGCCTACAGAAATGCAACCCCGGGAAGCACTTTAACAGGTAAAAACTGAACATCTATAGTCTTCTTTCACTTTCTAGCTTTTATTCGAACGACGTGCTTGACCTTCATAAATTTGTTATATTGGAAAACACTCTTAATTAGATCAGTGTGAACACCTAATTTTTGACTGAAGCTAAAGTTTTACCCCTTTTAGTAGCTATATATTTATTGTGATCTAAACTAGATATTATCTTATTTTAGTAAGCTTACTTTAAAATATTTGAAAACTATAGAAAAAGATAGTAACTTTATTATTATTTTGTAATCTGATTATTTAACACTTTATATATTAATTGATTTAGAATTAATTAATTTAAATTTTGTATTGATATATTTATAATATTCAAAGAAGAAAAGCTGAAAATTGGAAAAAAGAAAAGAAAGAAGTCAACCTAAACTAAACTACCTACTCCCTCACGTTTCTTTTTCACACTTTCAACCGTAAAAACCTCAACCAAGAAAATCTTTCACTCTCTCACGTCCCTTATCCCTTGCAACAAATTTATACATCCAATATTGTATATACTCAAGCAACAACAACGAGTACAGGGGAATGAGAAAAAGAAACTGATAAGCAAAAGAGATAGAAATTGAGCAGAAGAAACGTGATAGAAAAATTTAAAAAAGAAGAAGAAGAGAGTTATAAAGCAGAGAGCAAATCTGAGAGTTTGGGAAAAGAGTGTTCCGAGAATCGAGTTATAGTTCGCGGTTTCGAGTTTGTGGACCTGATTTGGAAATTTGTAGATTGTACGTTACCTTCCTTTGTTAGTCGAAAGCAATTTGAAGGTTCGTTTTCACCATTACCTGTTTGTTTAAAATTTTTATATAAATTGTATGTTTGGATCATTTACGTTGAGTTATTTAAGATGTGTTTTCAATGTTCTTAAATAATGTTTCATGATTAGTAAATAAGATATTAGGTCTGCCAGAATTAAAATTGGTGTTAATTTGCATGTATATAGTTTCTCTGCTGCTATGATTTGTGAGTTTTAAAATAAATATATTGATTATTGATTATTGAAGTATGCCAAGACATGAAGTTTTAAGCTTAAAGAATGTTACTAAACTTTAAAGTTAACGTGGAAAGCTAGTTTTTTTGTTTGTTTTGATTTCCAATCCACTCCGTCATTGCCCGAGCATATTCAATTGAGCCTATTGTTGTTTTTATAGTATAAATTTCTGTTGTTTTTATAGTATAAATTTCTTAGAATTTAAATTTTGTGCACTATACAAAATATTTACACTATTAAGTAATTTTATAAGTAAATACAGTAACTTTCTTAAGTAATATTATTTACCTTTTTAGAACAAAACAAGTTACTAAAGAGTAGATATGGTTAATGAAATGTTGATTGCTACTTGTACTAACAAAATAAATAAATTGTTTTACTGTAAATAAAAATAAATAAAAAATCAAACTTTGTTCACCATTTTGATCTTTCATCGGAGTTTATCAAGATCATAGCTAAAATAATTTTTTTTACTCTTTAATAAAATAAGACAAATTTTAATGCGAGTTTAAAATAAATCAAAGAAGGTGGGACATAAGTAATTCCTAGGCTTATGAGTATAATATATTTAAAAATTGAGTCAAGTCAAATAGTCAATAAAGCGACCGTATTAAAATCACGAGGCTCGAGTGGTGTCTGATACCTTCTTCTCGGTCAACATAATTTCCTTACCCAAAATTTTATTTCATAGACTAATAAAAAATAGAGTTAATTTTCTTTTTATTAGGAATTTCAATTAGGTGACTTGAACACCAAAACTCAATTTCAAGTGATGACTCTGAAATAAAATAATCCCTTTTCAAAATAGTTACTTTGATTGGATTTTTTTTTCAAAACTTCATCGTTCTTTTAAGGGATAAAAATCATCACGAAGAAGAGCCCATGATACCAAAACATGTTAATGACAGAAGATTTTGTAGAGTTGTTGCACATCAATCAAAACAAAATAGGTGATTACCTTGATAATTGATGAGTTCCTTTAGAATTTTTATACAAAAGATATGACTGAAAAGATGGGTTCGATTTATATGGAACGAAACTCTGCAATGGTGGGTGTTGCCTTACCTAGGAAGCGCATAGTTATGATGCCTTTATAGTAGCTTTTTTAGGGATCATGGTATTTCCAAAAAGGAAAGGAAAGATCAACATAAATTTAGCTGTCGTCACTACAAATTCTGAGAAGAAGCCTAATATCACCCTTGAACCGATGGTTCTAGCATACATTTACCATTACCCTTTTATAGTGGACTCCAAAGTAGAATGTAATGATTACATTGGGGGCATAAGGAAAAAAAAATTAAAGATCTGATTTTTCGAAAGGACATTAAAGCTTGGAAGAAATACCTCAATGCTTTAACCGCTAACAAGATTGTGTGGAATTATTATAGGTTCCCACCAGACAAGGTGATATACATGTCTATATTTCGATTGTTCATTATCCTAATGGGTCTTCGAGGTATCCACTCGGAGTCATGCGGCAATTTGATCGACGCCGGTTTTTACCTCCTAATAAAGATATGCGGGAATTCATGTATGAGTTTCATCCCAAGATCACTCTAAGGAAATTAGAAATATTTAAGATTTGGGGAGGATGTATACTTCCAAGTCCCCACGACAGGGTGGAGGATTGCGACAAGGGTGAGGTAAACCAATCATACTTAGGATGGCTTCATGATCAACCCCCTTAAGGTTATGTCAGAAAGGTTGGTGAAGGGGCCATTAGATTGAGAAACGAAAGTTGAGGTTAGAATCAAACAAGCTCGACTCGAGGTTGAAGAAAATTATGGGTCTACTCTGGATGTCTTAACTAATGAGTAATGACGTAAAGAATAGTTGACCCAACTTAAGGCAACATTCGAAGCCAGAGTTAGGTTGGTTCATAAAAGGGTTGAGAAGGAACATCGTTCTACCATTCTGATCTTACTTTAAAACTTAGGTATTATGACGGGCGCTATGGAGCAGCGAAAAAGTTTTTTAAAAAAAAGGTCAAACTCATATGTGCACAATCTAGACTTCAGAATCAAGTAAAGGCTTATGGAACGTGAAAGGAAAATAGCAAAGCATTTCACTACTTATTAGGGAAGAGTGTGATATTAAAAGAAATCAACAAATAGTTGAGTGAGATGCACTCCACATTCAAGTTAAAGAGCTCCAGGAACAAAAAGAGAATTTGACACATGCAGTCAATACTACTTGACATTGATTACAAAACTGTCACGAAAATATGAATGAGGCCAAAGATTGAGTACTTCAACTCAAGGATACACTCAAACGAAGTTTATACTGGTTGTCTACATCATTATGATGAGAGATCAAGCCGACAGACGCGTGCTCTCGCTCCTCATCTACCAAAAGTATTGGCTAAAATTTATTCAAGTCTTGGAGGCGATTGAGATCCGAAACACTTTCAGAAGATATTATAGAAATGAAAATAATTTAGGTTCATGACATACAACGTATGATTAATATTCAAAAAGAGTTAAATTTTTACACGCTTGTTTTTGTTTATAAAGAAAGTTTAAAGGTGGTTGGTTTGTGGTTAAGCTAGCATCTCATCCATACTATACAAAATCAAAGGGAAAAGAGAAAATGACCCGCAAAGGCGAAATAGATCAGATAATGAGGAAGTCCAAAATCAGATAGTTTCATAAGAATCAGTATCAGTAGAAGAAGTAAGGATGTTGAGACAACAAATTGCTAAAATGTACGTAGCTTGGTTGAATGGGCAAGCTCATCCATCTTCAATTCGTAAATATCTTAATACGAATATGTCATCTCCTATCCAAGTCTCGGCAAGTGATTCAGTTTATCCACCAGGATTTGGTTCATATTAACACATTTAATACTGTTGGAACTTTCACAATGGGTGTATTCATTAGGCGTATCGTGAAGTTCCAACAGTATTAGATGTGTTCACATATGGACCAAATCTAGGTGGATCACTTGTCGTTATCGAGACTTGGATAAGGGATGACATATTCGTATGCAGATATTCACGAATTGAAGATGGAGGACCTTGTCCATTCCATACATTTCAGTCATTTGTTGTCTTAACATCCTTACTTCTTCTACTGATATTGATTCTTGTGAAACCATCTAATTTTGGACTTTCTCATTGTTTGACTCTATTCCATCTTTGTGGGTCATTTTCTCTTTTCCCTTTGACTTTGTAAAGTATGGTTGAGATGTCTGCTTAACCACCTTTAAACTTTTTTTATAAACAAAAACAAATGTGTTAGAATTTAGCTCTTTTTTAATATTAATCACACATTACATGTCATGCACCTAAATTATTTTCATTTCTTCTGAAAGTGTTTCGGATCTCAATCGCCTCCAAGACTTATATAAATTTTAGCCAATACTTTTGGTAGATGCAGAACACGTGCTTGTTGGCCTGATCTCTCATTATTTTGATGTAGATAACCACCATAAACTTCATTGAGTGTATCCTTGAGTTGAAGTACTCGATCTTTGGCCTAATTCATATTTTGGTGACAGTTTTGTAACCAATGTCGAGTAGTATTAACTGGATGTGTCAAATTCTCTTCTTGTTCCTGGAGCTTTTCAACTTGAATATGAAGTGCATCTCGCTCAACTATTCGTTGATTTCTTTTCAATCTCACACTTCGCTTGCTTGATAAGCAGTGAAATGCTTTGCTCTTTCCTGTTTCATAAAAGCCTTTACTTGATTCTGAAGTTTAGACTGTGCGCATATGAGTTGGGCCTTTTCTTTTTTAAACTTTTCCTGTTGTTGCTCCATAGTGTTTGTCATAATACCCAAGTCCTCTTGTAAGGTCAGAATGGTAGAACGATGTTTCTTCTCAACCATTTATTGAACCAACCTAACTCTAGCTTCCAATGTTAGGCCAACTCTTCTTTAACATTCTTTAGATCATTAGTTAAGACATTGAGAGTAGATCTTATTTTCTTCAACCTCGAGTAGAGCTTTCTTGATTCTAACTTTCGTTTCTCGATCTGTGGGCCCTTTCACCGATCTTTTTGACATAACCTTAGGGGGGGTGATCGTGAAACCATCCTAAGTATGAGTGGCCCACCTCACCTTTGTCGCGATCCTCCACTCTGTCGTAGGGACTTGAGAATATTCATTCTCCCCAAATCTTAAATATTTTTGATATCCATAGAAGAGATCTTGGGATGAATTCCTGCATATCTTCATTAGGAGGTAGGTAAAAATTGGCGTCGATCAAATTGTCGCATGACTCTGAGTGGCATGCAGTAACGCTGGACATCTTGAAGACCCATTAGGACGATAGACATGTATGTCACCTCATCTATTGGGAATCAATGATAATTCATTTTGTCAGAGCATTGAGGTATTTCTTCCAAGCTTCAATGCCCTTTGAAAAAAATTGATCTTTAATTCTTTCCTTGTAGCCCCAATGTAATCATTTCATTCTATTTTGAAGTTCACTACTTAAGGGTAATAACGAATGTGCTTAATCATCCACATTTGCAGTAAAATATTGTATCCCTCAAAATAATCTTCTCCATTCTTGCACCTTGTTAGAGTGCGGTAAATATCTGCTAGGTACAAGGGTGATGTTAGGCTTCTTGTCAGAAGTTGTAATGACTGCAGTTAAATTTATGTTGATCTTTCTTCCCTTTTTTAGAAATATCATGATCCCCAAAAAGCTACTATAAAGGCATCATAATTATGCGTTTCCCAGGTCAGGCGGCACCCAACATTATGGAGTTTCGTTCCATATAAATCGAACCCATCTTTTCGGCCATATCTTTTGTATAAAAATTCTAAATGAACCCATTTATTATCAAGGCAACCACCTATTTCGTTTTCATTGATGTACAACAACTCCAAAAATCTTCTACCATTAACATGTTTTGGTATCATGGGCTCTTCTTCGTGAAGATTTTTACCCCTTCCCATGAATACGCCTATTTCTTCCAGAGTGGGGGTAAGTTGAAAGTCTAAAAAATGGAATACATTATTTAACAGATCCCAAAAATGAACTAGTGCTTCTATCAAATCCCTTAGTGGCTCAACATACAAGAGGCATCGTAAGAATCTCAAGCGTTTGAACACCACTCCTTTTCTATAATTCGTCATGCTTTCATACCATGTCCTTGTCAGGGCCTAATCCAATATCATGAACCAAGGTGATTGATCATTCCTTGGTCTCTTGTCTCCCTTTCCATATGAGCTCATATTTCCCTATAGGATGATGATGACATTAGGACTTTACTATGTTTTAATGAAACATTTTTTTTGAAATAATAATTAAATAAAAAGTCTTAGACTCGAGACAAGATTTTAATGATGCTTGAACTAGAACGAATAGGGACAATCAAATTATTTGAACAAGAGTAAGGATTTGATAAGAGCTCGAACTTATTTTATTAAAAAAAAATGGACTTTTATAGTACTCACAAAGATAGAAAAGGGATATAAAAACATGACGAAATCAAGAATGACACATCTTTATAGAATAGTTCAAGTTATTTTGGAAAAATGATTGGATGCTAGGAGGAAAACACATTTTGTTTTAGAACAAGTCATCAAATCTTTTATTCTTGTTATTTATTTAATTATAAAAAATTCTTTTATTGGATAATCTGAGTAGAATTGAAAAATAATATATATATATATATAATAGAATTTTTTAGTTTATTAAAGAGGTATGAATTTTGACAAGGAAAAGGAAATTAAGGCTCACCTTTTTAAAATTAAATTAATTAATTCATCTAAAGTTAGTCGACATTTGGTATAGTGTCAACAGGGGAAGCTTTTTCTCTGTGACTCGTTTGATTGGGAATAAGTTATTCCAGATTAGTTATCCTAGGATAACTTATCCCACCATGTATATGTGATAACTTATCCCATAAGTTATTTCAAACATGTCAACCAAACAAGACACAAATTTTTTATCCCATGACTAATTAATTATTTTTATCCCTCACACCAAACGACCCCTAACTATGAGAAAACCAAATTCAGAAGAAAACATTCATTTATGCTGTTTTCTGTAATGACAAAGCTCGAGATGCTGTAATATCAACCCATTATTGGACGTACTGTTACGTGATGCTGGCAAGGCTTTTTTTTGCCTGTTTGATAATAACTAGACTGACGTGGATATATGTAATTTAGTTTTCTTCATTATTGTTTACATGATCTTGCTTTGCCCTTGGTTGGATCCATTTTCTTAACACTTCTTCCCTACAAATCAACCACCTATAAAATATATATGGAAAGCCAAGCTACGTACAGCTATGTTCTGTGTGTAACAATAATTAGCTAACATTGAGAGAAGCCTCCATGTGCATCACAAAATATACCACAATCGTATTCAATATATTTTTGAAAACAGCCTCTCTACCTCTACGAGGTAGTGATAAGGTCTCCACTTTGTAGGGTTCACTAGGTATGTTGTTATTTTTTATATTCAATATATTATTTATCTTCCATTATCTGTTTGTTTTCCAGACGATTACTTCCTCTCTCGTCTTCCTGTTGTGGAGAAGAGGTTGGCGCAAGGTGGGGTCCGCTTGGCCGAAGTTCTCAACCGAATTTTCACTAAAAAACCATCAGTTGCTGCACAATGAAGATAAACTGCAGAAGAAAACCACTCTATGTATTCAATTTCCATTATAACTTGGGAGTTCCCTTCACGCCAAGAACTGAAACCTACATAAGTGACTTATAAGTCAACTATTGTATTTAAAAAGGTGTAATAAAATGTAACTTTAGATGCAAAACTAGTCCATTATTACATATGATAGATGCTGCTATCATATTGGAATATGCTGTATGTTGCTTTTATGGATAATCAACCTCTATTTTACTTATTAAGATAAGAGGAATCTTCAACTTGTACACAACAAGAACCATTTCAACATTTTTTGTATATATAGAACATGCCCAAGTTTGGTGGGACACTTCTGGTTTTTGATACCTGTCAAGTTATAGAACTTCTTTGAGGATGTTGAGGTTAATTTCATTAAGCATTATTTTCTTTCTCTGTCTTGCTTTTATCAACCATCATGGTGCTGAAGCATGGAGCAAAGAGGGACATATGATGACATGTCGAATCGCGCAGGTATATATTCTATTTGAATTTATTTGAAAAATGTATTTTTTTTGGCTTCAAATAATTAGAACTATTGCATGTGGAAACAGGGCTTGTTGAATGATGAGGCAGCTCATGCAGTCAAGATGCTGTTGCCGGAATATGTTAACGGCGACTTATCGGCCCTCTGTGTGTGGCCAGATCAAGTCCGGCACTGGTATAAGTATAAATGGACAAGCCCTCTACACTTCATTGATACACCAGATAAAGCTTGCAACTTTGATTATGAAAGTATGTCAAATGCATCAAAAAACACGATCTATTTATTCTCTCTTTTCACAATTAGATCCTATAATTCATAATTACTTTTTGTATGATGAAAAGGGGACTGTCATGATCAACATGGAGTGAAGGATATGTGTGTTGCTGGTGCAATTCAGAACTTTACTACTCAACTCTCTCATTACAGAGAGGGAACTTCCGATCGTCGATGTAAGAATCAAAAATAGTAAATTTCTTATATTGTAAGGGGGTAATTCACTTATAATACCATATAATTTGTCAATAATTACAGATAATATGACAGAGGCCTTGCTGTTCTTGTCACATTTCATGGGAGATATCCATCAAGTATGTACTCACTATTTTTTTCGCGTTTGAAACGTTAAATAATAGCAACCAACGTATGATTATTATTTAGAAAAACTTGTTACCTTGTTGTTTTGGTGATTTCAGCCAATGCATGTTGGCTTTACAAGTGATGCTGGAGGAAATAGTATTGATTTACGCTGGTTTAAGCATAAATCAAACTTGCACCATGTAAGTATATAACTTATCGAGTTTGATCCAAGATTTAAAGTTAATGCGTTCAAATTGGCTATGATAGTAAGAAAAAAGATGATTAACGACGTATGTTTTCCTTTGTAAAAAAAATAATGTTATAGGTGTGGGATAGGGAGATAATTCTAACAGCTGCAAAAGACTACTATGCAAAGGATGTAAATCTCCTTGAAGAAGACATTGAAGGAAACTTCACTGACGTAAGAGTCAATCCCTTAAACTTGTCAGGATATTTCATTTAGATATTTGAACCAAGTCAGGTTCCATTTGAACACCTTCGTTCCTAAACAATTGTTCCAACTAGACATTTTCGGTTCAAATTTTGATTTTGTTAAATCATATACATACTCAGGGAATTTGGTCTGATGATCTTGCTTCTTGGAGAGAATGTGGCAATGTCTTTTCTTGTGTAAACAAGTGAGTTCTTTCTCAATTATGTAAATCGAAGTTGATTCTGAAACGACTAAACGTACAAAAACATATATACTTTGACTATGACTTAAATAACGATATTAAGCACTTGTCCTTGAGAAATTGATTAATTGTTGATGTGATGTTTCAAGGTTTGCAACGGAAAGTATAAATATAGCATGTAAATGGGGATACAAAGGTGTTGAAGCTGGTGAAACTTTATCAGGTATTTTTCACTTGACTGTCTACGATTTTATTGTGTATGCTTGGGATACAAATTAATAAATTGACATTTAATCTATTTTAATTTGTGCAGATGATTATTTCAATTCAAGACTTCCAATAGTAATGAAACGAGTAGCACAAGGTGGAATACGATTAGCCATGCTTTTAAACAACGTTTTTGGAGTTTCTCAACAAGAAGATTCAGTTGCTGCAACTTAATTACCAAATAATTTTAATAAAATAGTAATGAAAAACCATATATTAGTTCATGTTTGACCAAAATAAAATAAAATACTAAATTAGATGACACATCTTTGTGGTCTGATTTAACCTGTCTTACAATTCGTTGTTGTATTTAAATTCCTGTAAATTGTAATTACCCACAGATATGTTACTAAAAGTGTAATTACATGTACTTAGCTCGTCTTATCTTTAAATACAAAATGGTAATTTATATATTTGACTATACTATATATTGCATCTTAGACTATCTCCAACCCACCTCTATTTTACTTTTCATTTTTTTATATTTGGAGAATAAAATAGAGAATTGACTCTTCAACCACCCTTCATTTCACTCTTTCTTCTACGCTGGAGAACTATTATTCACTCTCTATTATATTTTTTGATTATTTTTATTATTTTTTAATTAACACATTATTTTTCATATAAGACCATTAATTAAATATTTAACATATATAATTATTTTTAAATGTAATATAATATTTTAAAAATATATTATTTCATATATACTATTTTCATCTCAAATTAATAATATTTTTATTTTATTTTATTTTCTTACTTTAATATGATTTGATATTATTATTAATTGTCACTATGATGAATGCACAAAATTAAAATGATAAGATGAAAATTTTAATTTAAAAATACAAATATATAACATAATAATTTAAATACGAGACAACACAATACATAACATAATAATTTTATCACATCAATTTTGATTGCAATTTATGTTATTTAGAAATTTAGAATAAAATAAAATTTTAAATTAAATAAAAAAATTTGAAAAAAATAAAATCTATATTACATGAAAATTATACAAAGTAATTATTTGAAAGAAAAAAAAAAGAAGAAAGAAAATTATATTATGAAATAGGAAAATAAGAATGAAATAGAAATAATAATATAATATTGAGAAGAGAAAAAATTCATTTTTAGAGAGTAAAATAGAGAATTGGATTGGAGATGATTGTTTGAAAAAATAGAAAATTCTATATTTGAAGAGTAAAATAGATGGTAGAATTGAAAATGCCCTTAGACACTAACTTGATGCTTAAAGATAATAATTTATTATTTTTTCCTCATCTGGTTTTTAAAGCCAATATGCCACATTGAAATTCCGACTAAAGCCAACAAACCACATTGAAACCCCGACTAACTGATCACCTTTTGTCTATATAGACGTCATTATTATTAGAAGACAAAATGGTAAACGTCAGCTCTTAATATTATTTGGTATAATAAAGTAAATTAAACATGAAAGAAACATATTGATCGGTTGAGTATGGAAGATGGCAAATGACTTTGACACGACTTATAACGTAGGCACATACTTCACATGTTTACAGCATTTTAGGTAATACATAGCTGTCTCGCAAACAAATTAGGCGGTGGACGATAGATTGTAGGTTCGAGTCAGAAGATAAATGAGAATATGCTTGATTTGTGTGATATGAAAAAAGATTAATTATTTACTTGTCTTACTCAGTTGCTCTAATGCACAACATATACATTATATAAAATGTTTTTATAATCAAATTATTAATATTTTTTGTGATAAGTATTACTCGTTTCATTTAACTTAGTTTGACGTAAAATTTAATTAATTTTCTTAAAAACATTTATGTTTTTAAATATTCATACAATAGTACTTATTATTTGTGTGGCTGCAATATTTAAAACTTTTAAAATTATAAACATGTTTGATAATAAAAGTTTTAATTAAGAAAATTTATAAAGATATATCTTTTTTAATGGACTATTTTTAAAAAAATAGTGAAAATAAAATAAAATAGATAGAATTGTTAATCACTTGATAAAAAAATATAACTAATTTTCTATTACTATATGGTATTAAATTGCAACTATACTTTTAAAAAAAAAAAAAAAACTTGACAATGTATATAATTTTGGTTAAATCCTTATTGTTATACTATTTAATTAGCCTTTACTTCTACTTTTGTACGGTGTGCTCTAGATGTATTCAAACATCATTGGAATATTCTGAATTTTCAAGGCCAAATTCTTGTCAGTGTTTGAACGCGATTTTTGTTCTAGAAGGTTTTGATTTTTCTCATTTATTAATTATTGTAAATCAATTAATTAAATCCATGTATAGTGTTATTCTATCGGTACATTATTAGGTTGTCTAAAGATAACTTTTTATATTACAAAAATTATTTAAGTTTGAATGATATTTTATTTTTACCTCAGTTTAATTACTATCACATAAATTGAAACAAAAGAAAAACAATTACCAAATGTGTATAGTCAAACCTTTTTATAATGACAACTTTTCTATGAAAATTTTATGATTATTATAGTGAGGTATATATATAGATCTCATTTAGCAATTATAAATAAAAGTACTCAAAAATCGATTCATTTGAAAATCAAATTATTATAGTAAAATGTCATTATAATGAATAGATTGTTATAGGGAGGTTTGATAATTTGTTAGTAATCTTACGAAGGCCATGATGTAATATGTAATTAATTATCATATTCGCTAATTAGCACTCCTCGATTGACCTAAGGAAAAAAAAAAAAAAAAGGAAGTAAAACGCTGTCGTTTGTTCCACCGAGATGGCAGAGTTGCCTCTTTCCTTTTGCCTTCATCTACATTTGCATGCTTTTATTTATACATATTTTTTTGCAGCAAATCACCCAAATGTTAAAATTATAGCAGTAGAGAACTTGTATTTGTGATTCCTCCATACCCTTTTGTTTTACATTAGAAAAAAGAAAAAAAAAATGCAGGTGGAGCTATCAGATTTTGACCAATATTTTCTTGCTGATCAAGGTTTTGTCTATATAAAATTAAAGGGTGGCTCTTTTTTTTAGTGTAAAAGTATACTGTTGACTCCTGATATCCTGGAGAAAATCTTTTCTTTCTTATGGGGTTTCATCTTCTTCTTTAAATTCTTAAAGGTAATTCCTTTTTTTCATTTCTTATGTATATATTATGCTGGATCTTGACTGTACCATGTATAGTTTCATCATTATTGTAACTTATGTTGTGACCTTCTGAGTTTTGAGTAGTATGTAATTAATCATGTGCAAGTTTTTACTGCTATTTTATGAGTATGATGTTATATATTGAGCACACAGGGGTTCTTGATCTACGGATGGATCCAGGATTCAATTGAACCCACAAACTATTTCAGTTACTAGGTTCTAAAATTTAATATTTGGACATATAAAGCTATTGGGTTCAATACTGTCAATCCGCTCCTCTCTTGATCTATTTTGGCATAAGCCAGCTCAATCCGAAATATAGCTCATGAGAGAAGGATTGTCCAAGATTATCTAAGTAGACAACAACTCATTTTCTCAATTAATGTAGGACACTGTTTTATTTGTGAATAGTTAAAGATGTTTTTCTTCCTGTCCAGTTTTGGTTGTAGAAATTTGAATGTTAAATTATGTGTAGCAGATTTTGGTAGGCTGATGTTGACAATCTTTTTTATTTCCGTGATGCTGTCATTCTTTTCTTCGTCTGATTTTTTCAGTATTTGTCTTGGTCCAAGCTAATTTATTTGTAGAACTAGATGTTTTTCTGGAAAAAAAGATTGAACCTTTTAGTTGCTAACTAATCATACAACTTAACCAGTTTATGGGTTAAGAGATTGATGTTGTCTACCTCACTTCATAGATTGCTTGCATTGAAGGCAATCACATTTCTTCCATTTCTAGATGTGTTCTGTCATTCCAAATTTGAATTTAAGTATGTCGTGTTCAGAAATTTAATCCAACGACCTTTGCTGATTATTTGTAATATTGTGTCAACAAATAGTTTGTTCTAAGGTATGAAGTAATGAAATGTATAACCTATAATGTTATCGGAGTTTATATGTACCATCAAGTTGTTGTGCAATGATATCAACATCTCGGTAGTTTATATAGTAAATGACAGAGGTTTGGATTTCATAACAGACTGACTAGAGTGAATTCATATCTGGTAAGTATTAGCAAAACGTGACCAAGTAAACTTCAAATTGAAACTGGCATTGTAAATATGGTTGCACTCTTCATTTTCTTGACCAGATTCTTGTAAAATCTGCTACCAAATTTGGAATTTGGCACTAACTGGCCATATTTGTCTAGAGGACTGAGATTGTAGTGAGTGTATGCAAGATCATGGTATATTGTAAATCCAGGTGTTTTATATCTGGATCCATTCTAAGAATTTTGCGAGAACACTTCACATTGAAACTGCCACCGTGAAGAAATGCAGATTTTGTCTTTCCTGTTTCTGCTAGGTGATTCTAGGAACCATCTTTGTCTTGCTTTTGTCTTGTCCTTGACTGATACGCTCAACTTCAATGTTCATAATCTTTACTTCTCCACACTTCTGGGATCTTCTTTATAAGTGTATTGCAGCTTCTATCGAGAGCTCACATCTACTTTCTTCCTTTTTTCAGTGTCATTCATAAACATTGCATACCATCTAAAGTCCAAACAGTAATTGCTTCATAAAAGATTTCAACAGTATCAGCTTCGGTAAGGAGTACTCTGAACATGGCATTGGTAAGGGCTGCAAGGAGTAGCTTAAGGCGTTCTGGAGGTGCAATTGGAAACTATGCAAGTGAGAGAAATATATTCTGTGAAGGCATTTCACCATTGAGACACCCTGCGCCAGTTTTTGAAAAAGCTGTAACAGGTTTCAATTCGTCATACATTCCAAGTACACAGATGATAAGTCAATTAAGTTTCAGGAACAGAGGAATGAAGTTTACCCCTCAATATCAGTTTCCACATGCAGAGGCTCAGACGGTTGGGGGTTCTGATTCAAAGAATGAAAGATCCAGTTATCCAGGCCTTGAAGCAACAAAACAGGGCGAAAAACCTAGAGTAGTTGTTCTTGGATCTGGTTGGGCCGCTTGCAGATTCCTCAAAGGAATAGACACTACTATGTATGATGTTGTTTGTATAGCACCAAGAAACCATATGGTCTTTACACCTTTGCTTGCATCTACTTGTGTTGGAACATTGGAATTCCGATCAGTTGCTGAACCAGTTACCCAGATACAGAAAGCACTGGCAAAGGATCCAAATTCATATTTCTTCCTAGCATCCTGCACTGGTGTTGATGCTGATAAACATGAAGTGAGTATAACAAACTCTTATTTTTCTCACTTCCAAAATATGTCTTTAACATATAATTCCTCCTTTCAATCTAATCAAATATATAGACATGATTACCTACATCCATTCAGGTAT